AACAACAGCCCCCTTAACCCCCCCCCCCCCCCATGCATACCGCGCCGCTGGTACACGGTTCTCAGCTGCGTCAAACATGTCTTTCCTCCAAGTTTCCACCAAAGGCTCGCTACGTATTTCCCTTCAAATGTTTCCACCCCCCCATGTCCCGTCGCAGCTGTTCCTGCAGTTGAGGGATGTGTCCGGCGCGGAACAGTAGACGCCGCGGCAGCATCGGACTTGATTCGGAAAGTCGCTCTGCAAAACAATCCCCAGGCGGCGCGGGCGTCACAGCTTGCTCGAGTCTTTGCCTGCGACCCCCGGTCGTGGTCAGCAAGCCTCCTGCTTCTTGGCCATTTAGCATGGAGGGGGGAGGGCATTCAAAGGTCAAAGCAAACCCGCTGGCTGGGGGATCGGTTGGGGCCGCCATTTGCCTGCTTTGGCTAAACTGCGTAGAACAAGCCAAGCCATCCGGGTGAAAACGTCATGGGTGAAGGGAATGGCCATTGCCCGGGCAAGGGACTGGACCAAGACACGCCTGGACTCTGGAGCTTCGCATTTCGCCATCCTGCGTAGCTCTGGTGGCGCTTTTATAAGGTCGGTCTTCTCCTGTGACGCAACAGATGCTGTTTCCTCCCTCTCCCATGGATTGTTCCTACGGTCTGTGTGGTTTGGTTTGTACAGCTGCTGCTTGACAAGCTCCCGACCAGACATCTTGTATTATCACAAGCGCGTGTAAATCCACAAGCCTACCACCGCCGCCACACACCTAGTTCGCACCGTTGCTGTCCATTCCGGCCAGAGATGAAGCTCACCACGGCTCATTTGCTGCTCGCAGGAGCCGTTGAGCTCTGCAGCGCCCTCCCTCACCACGACAGCCCCCAGCAGCGTCTCGCCAAGGGCCTCTCACTGACGGGCAAATACGCCAAAGACAACCCTTACACGCCGGGCCACAGCGACCCTCACGATCATGCCGTCGACGCCATTGGCAAAGGCCTCAGTCCCCGGCCGTGGCGCAACGGCAACGGCGCTACCGTCCTCGGCCCATACAACCGCGACCGGTCGCGCCAGAGCCCCGACATGATCCGGCCGCCGAGTACAGACCATGGCAACATTCCGAACATGCGGTGGAGCTACACGGATTCCCATGTGAGGATTGAGGTGCGTTGCAATTCACCCCGTCATCATCGTCGTCATCACCATCCCTCACTCATACTAACCCTTGGTGGGCGGTAGGAGGGCGGATGGACGAGGCAAACCACGGTCCGTGAGCTTCCCACCAGCATCGAGCTTGCCGGTGTGAATATGCGCCTGGACACGGGCGTCATCCGCGAGCTGCACTGGCACAAGGAAGCCGAGTGGGCATACGTGCTCGAGGGCGAGGTCCGCGTCACGGCCCTGGACTACGAGGGCGGCAACTTCATGGACGACCTGAAGAAGGGCGACTTGTGGTACTTTCCCAGCGGCGTGCCTCATTCTCTGCAGGGTCTGGGCGAGAACGGCACCGAGTTTCTGCTCATCTTTGACGACGGCCGCTTCTCCGAGGAATCTACCTTTATCTTGACCGACTGGCTAGGTAAGCCCACCATGCTCCGAACCTCTCTCTCTCTCTCTCACACACACACACACACAAACACTTTGACGTAGCCAAAAAAAGACAGCCCAAGTCGACTAACACAAAGCCCCTCCCATCCAGCACACACGCCCAAGTCCGTCATCGCCAAAAACTTCAGGCTCGACCCCCAAGTGTTCGCCCACCTCCCCGCGGGCGAAAAGTACATCTTCCAGGGCTCGCAGCCCGGCACCATTGACCAGGAGCGGCCGTCGGGCAAGCACGTCAAGCAGTCCAAGTACCAGTTCACGCACCGGATGCTGGAGCAGGAGCCCAAGGAGACGTCGGGCGGGCTCGTCCGCGTCGCCGACTCGACCAACTTCCCCGTGTCGCAGACGGTGGCGGCGGCGCACGTCATCATCGAGCCCGGGGCGCTGCGCGAGATGCACTGGCACCCGACGGCCGACGAGTGGTCCTTCTTCATCCGCGGCCGCGCGCGCGTCACCATCTTTGCGGCCGAGGGCAACGCCCGCACCTTTGACTACGTCCCCGGCGACGTGGGCATCGTGCCCAAGAACATGGGCCACTTTGTCGAGAACATTGGCGACGAGCCCGTCGAGATGCTCGAGGTCTTTCGCGCCGACAAGTTCAGAGACTTCTCCCTGTTCCAGTGGATGGGCGAGACGCCGCAGCGCATGGTGGTCGACCACCTGTTTGCCGGCGACGAGGAGAACGGCCGCAAGTTTTGGGACACGGTCAAGGACGCCAAGAAGGACGAGGTCAAGCAGGCGGGGGACGTTGATGTCGACCACGTCGAGGGGGAGGAGGAGCTTTAGATGCCGCGAAAGGGATTTTTGGGGGGGTTGGGTGGTCGAGATTGGAGGTCTACGTTTGATGCCCATTCATGTTGTGGCCGATGGAAGATGGGGGGTGGCTTTTACAAACTCGCTGAGTGCCTAGGCTTGTACATAATTGACGCCGAAAATGACCAGTTTTCATGAGCTCTATTCTCAACCACGAAGGATAAAATCTGTTGCTCGTTCCATTTGCTTGCTAGTCTGCACGGTGCCTCGCAGCCGACATCTGGACTCTGAACAACCGGCGACATCCGCTTTCGGCGGAGGATCCGGCGTCATGAAGTGGATCCGGCGGCGCCCAAATCAAGTCCCGCCCGGCGCTCTTCCGCCCGAAGCCTGGCCGTCGACAATAACGACAAGCAGCATGAGCGACGGAGTTGGGTCGGCATGTTTGGGAATTTGAGAAGCTCTTCCTTGATGGAGGTGCGTATCTGCATTTCATTTGTTCGGTGCTCAATCAAGTGCCGGCTCAACTTGCCGCAGCCCTGTCTTTCCAAGCCATGCATTGTCTTTGGGCCAAAAGCCGTTTCAACGTGCGAATCAGCTTCCTTCACCGCCGATCCTGCTACTATGACGATCAAGACATACAGCCCGCAGGGAGGGGGGATGTGAAGCAATCACCATCATGCTGGGCAAGTATAGTACCAGTACACGCTGGAGCGTCTGCAAGCATGCCGGGGGCAGCATTGCTTGCGTGCATTGGCATTGTTGCTGATGCACATCACAAAACGACACTTGACAATCTTGACCGGTCCCTGTTTTTTGAGTTTTGCCTCGGTGGACAAGTGCACTCAGTAGGCATCTTACGTGATTTCTGGCCTTGGGACATGCTGTACAGAGGGGGGAATGGATGCCTTCAAGTTTGGCCAAGACACGCCTCGTCCAAGCAGACAGGTGACATTTTATCCTGCCGCCGTTGGCGAACACGAAGGGAGCATAGGCGCCTCCTTCTAGCGAGGGAAAAGCAGTGCTCCTGTTGACGAGAAAAAAAATCCAGAGGCAAGACGTGCCGCTGTGCCCTCATGACGCTATCACATGTGCAAACGCGTCAACAGCAATGACTTGGGCACCCGTACAACGCAGTCGTCATCGAAGCTGCGTGGCTCAGAATTCGGACGTAAATCGGCATCATCGAGTCCCCCCACGTTCCTCATCATGGTTTGGCCGTGCAGAGGCCATTGTCCCTAGGGAAGAACTCTGGCATTCATGCAAGTTGACTAGCCACCACCAACGACAACACTCGTGTCAAAGGCCACCGCTGGAAATGGGTGTGTACTCCCGCACGGGGTCAAGAATAAGAATCGATGAGGCATTGACTCACCCAAGCAGCCTGCCATCCTGCTCAGCACCGCCTCGCCGCATCTCTTGACCAGAGTTGCATTGCCTCTGGCAAGAGCCTCAATGGAGCCGGCTGCTTTGTGCAGCGGCGTTCCGTATCTCCCGACCGAGGACACGAGCAGACGCTCAGATAAGCCATGCTGCGGTCGGTGTAACGCGGGTCTGGCTTCCAGGTGCGTCTATTCGCAATCTGTACAGGGCCCCCAGAGAATCATGGCAGTCCCCTGCCTCGCTTTAACCCTGGGATTTTGCATTTCAACTCGAGAAGAGAGTGGAGAGAGGCGTTCCTCCCCCGCCCGCTCGATAACCCTCCCCAGCTATAGACAGGGCCAAGGTTGCCCTTGGATTCCCCGTCGATTGGCTTTATTTTAGAGGGACGGTCCTAAGACTCCTAACCAGGGGGGTGTGTGTCCATTTAGCGGTCGAGTCCGCCACATGGGAAAATTCATATTCCCTTTCTGATATCATGACCGAGTACGGACGGAGGATGCCTGAAGCAGACGGGAGACGCCGTGGCCCAATTGGCGGTCTGTATAGGGCAGAGGGCACCACCCAAGTCTCATTCACGACAGATATGCAATGGTACCCTGCAGGAAATACCTGGTCAACGTTCGAATCGGCTTGGCAAAGGCGTGTTTATTTCCAGACATGGCAAGTCCCTGCTCTCGGCGCGCCTCTGTGGGGGGTTCCGCCACGACACGGCCGCCGTCATCGGCATGGGAACTAAATCAAATTGGAGGAGTTGTCCTGTTCCAGATGAGAATCATGGGAGGGGCCGTGAGACCTTGCCGCGTTCCATTGATCGGCCAGGGAGGAGGCGACTGTCCAACGTCGAGCCACCGATCGGGGGGCCGAAGCCACGTCTATTTAGAGAAACAGGAAGAAACGGCGCAACCGCGGCCACCGCTGCGGCCGTGCATGAAGCCACGCAAACACGTCCCCAACTTGAGTGACGGATGTCTTGTCAACTTGGCCGAGCTAGCAGAATGCCCGTCTGGGGGGGAGACGCGCAGTGTTGCGACTAGACAGGACGAGATCTCCCCAACCATCGACACGTCAAAGTTTGCGTTACATCCAATCGCATATAACGGCAATACGCTGGCACTTATCACAGCGTTGCAATGTTGTGACCGACTCTCTGGCTCCAAAACGGCGCCATGTCTCCCGGGCTTGGCAATTCTCGGATGAGACGGCACCGCCGCGCTGCTTGCCCATGTGGGAAACCAGACATGACATCACCTGCTCATATAATTTTGTGAGTCGTCAAAGGAAAGTTGTGTTTGCGCCCGGTCTTGGTGGCTTTCTGAATCGAGTTTAAGCATCAACTAAAGCGACCGACTTGTACGCCGTTGGTCGGGGTCACGATGAGCGGCTTGTCCTTTTTGTTTCCATCTTGCCGCAGAATAACACTACAGGCAGCCATATCGTGGGGAAGCCAGCCACACTTGAGATCACTGGCTCGGCTGGAGGCAGTACTGGACACTTCCGTGTTGGATCGCAGCTGCTAGAGCAAGCAAATCACCTGTTGACCTGCGACCCGTTCGACCAAGGCCTGAAGGACCTGAACTTGGGACTCTTGTAGTTTATTCGATGGCTTTGTGCGCATTTGCCACCAACCTCTGGTCCAAGGTCGCCGTATGCGTCGGCGACTAGTGTTAGTTGCTGCTCCGTAGTAGCTTCATCCACCAAAACACTCGTCCTCCTCGTTGACAAGCCACTGGCAGAAACCTATGTGATGGGGCCAAAGAAAGACAAAGATGTCCGGATCACAGGTACCGAGATGGGCGAGTTCAGATCGAGTCCCGTCTTTCGGCATCGCTATCCGGTCAACTTTGCGCGGAAACGGCGGCCTACCTGCCGCTGCGGATCCCAGTGAAACGAGACACAGCATGGAAAACAAACTTCGCAGAACTACTCGACATCGCCCTGTCATACCACGTATCTCCAAAATACCTTGGCCCCGTCTCCAGGGCTGGCCGATGGTCATGGGGAGCCGGATATGCGCCTTCCGCCCAACTACCAAGGCGGCTGTGTCGATCGCTTTTGTCTCTTTTTTGTGTGTGTGTATTTTATTTTTGCTCTCTCGTCACACCCATCCAGGTGCTATGGCTTCCGCTGGGTGCCGCATAAACCATGGCGTCGCATCTGACACGATGTTGTAGGTATAAGGCTGCACACCACGGTCTGTGCAAAACGACTCGTTGGCCACTCCGGCCAAGGCAAAGCTAAGCTCCCGGCAACTCGAATGAAGATTGAAGATTTGACCGTCCGTTTGCTATTCGTCTTTCGTAGTTTCCCCTCTCTCGGACACCGTAGACGGCGTTTGCCTTGGTCTAGTGGACAGCGCAGACACTAGGACGCTCTTATATATCAACCACATCGTCCACGTAGCATGCCGTTATTTCCAGAACCGCAATCTTCTTATTTTAAAAAGAAGCGTTCACTTCATAACTCCGAAAGATTGCCGACATTAACGGGTCTGTAGCTGCGGAAATTGTGAACCGTCTCGTCTCCGACTTCCCGAGCATCCCCCTCCCCAGCCATTACCTGCTCCATCATGAAGAGCTTTTCCCATATCAAGGACAGTGTGGTCACGTCTTTCCGGACTGATCCGAATATTAATCGTGTCAAGAGCTGGGTTGGTCCGGTATCAAAGAGGCTTCCGTCTGCGACCGCAGACTATCTCGCCGAGAAGCTCCCCGTCGCCCAGTGGCTGCCTCATTACAACCCTCAATGGATTCTCCGCGATTTGATTGCCGGCATCACAGTGGGCGTGATGCTGATTCCTCAGGGACTGGCATACGCCAAAATCGCCACGGTCCCCATTGCAAATGGCCTGTACGCGAGTTGGTTTCCGCCGCTGTTGTACTTTTTCCTGGGCACCTCGCGTGAATTGTCTGCGGGACCGACTTCGATCCTCGGTCTTTTGACGGCAGAGGCGGTCGAGGACTTGTCGAAACAAGGCTACAGACCGGCCGACATTTCCTCTGCCATGGCCTTCATGGTCGGTGTCTATGCCCTCATCATTGGTCTGTTGAAACTCGGCTTTCTCTTGGACTTTGTCTCTGCGCCAGTGCTGACGGGCTGGATTTCGGCCGTTGCTATCGTCATTGGCCTCGGCCAGGTCGGCTCCCTGGTTGGACTTGACCTGCCTCCTGACGTGGCTGGAATAATTCATGACTTCTTTGCCCATATTGACAGCATCAAGCCGTTTACGCTCGCAATAGGTCTGACCGGTCTGGCATTTCTGCTGATCCTGGAGAAGGTTGGGAAGCGGAACAAGGGGAACAAGTACGTCAAATTCGTTTGCACAAGTAGGGCCGTGATTCTCCTCATCATCTACACTCTGATCAGTTACTTGTGCAACCGCGGCCGTGGAAAGGATCTGCTCTGGGCCGTCACCAAAGTAGATACACATGGCTTGCCGACCCCTCGTCCGCATGATTCCGCCCTGCTGCAGAAGGTATCATTGAGGGCATTCGCTCCGCTGATCGCCATGTCAGTTGAGCACCTGGGTGTTGGTAAAGCGTTCGGCCTGAGGGGTGACTACAGCATCGACAAGAGCCAAGAGCTGGTCTTTCTTGGGGTCAATAACATGGTCAACAGCCTGTTTGGCGCCCAGGCAACTGGGGGAGCGATGAGCCGGACTGCTGTCAATTCTGATTGCAATGTCCACAGCCCCGTCAACTTCCTCTTTACAGGCGGGCTCATCGTATTGACTCTTTACGAGCTCGCTCCCGCTCTTTACTGGATTCCAAAGGCTACTCTGTCCGCCATCATTGTAGGTTTCCCTCCAACTCGACATGTTCTGACCCAGATGTACCAACCTACCCCCATTCCGACTTTGGTCCAGACGACCGAGCTTGAGTTGGGACATTGCAACAACAGAAATCTCAAGTTAGGCACCTGCTAACAGGTTTTAGATAATGGCAGTTGCCCATTTGGTTGCCCGTCCAAGCCAGTTCTACCGATTCTGGAAGATGTCCTTTATGGACTTTGTAGGTTCCCAACTCGCGCTTTGGGTCACGCTTTTCACATCTACAGAAATCGGCCTGGCCACTGCTGTAGGCTTCAGCGTTGTGTATACCTTGCTTCGTCTCGCGTTCCCGCGCTGGATCGGGCTTTCACACCTCGAAACGGAAAACAACCACGTCTCCCTGCCTTGCACCAGCGCAGCTTGGACCGATGTCGACATCCCAGCCGAAGCATACCTCGTTCAGTATACCGACGACATCCTCTTCCCCAACGCCGAGCGTGTCAAGGCTGCAATTCTTCAATCCGTCAAGGTGCATTTCGATCCGGCCTCAGATGCCAACGTGGTTGTGGACAAGAGTAGGCGGACATGGAATCCCGCGAGCAAGAAGCAAATCATCAAGATTCGAAAGAGGAAGGGTATCACGGCATTCAACGGGGATGAGACACCGCTTCGGCGTGTCATTCTTGATTTCGGACGAGTGTCCTTCATTGATACTACTGGCGTCTTTTCAATAATTGAATTAAAGATGGAGCTGCGCAGATATATCGGACAGGATCTGGAATTCCGATTTGTCGGAATGGTAGATGCAGTCAAGGAGAGATTTGATCGTTCAGGATGGGAATTCGCTTCTCCCGGGAGGCAGCGTGCCGAGACTGCTGACGTTGTGTATTCGTCTATCAATATGGCGTTGTGGCATCTGGATGATAAGGATGACTTGTTGAAGGAAAAGGCCCTGGATGCGTGAGCTTCGAGCACTGATTTTACACGCTGAACTTTTGTGTGCTTTTCAAGCACGTTATTTCTTGTTTCAATATCACACGAATCCTCTTGTCTGTAGTTTCACACTGCTCAAGCATGAATGACATCGACATGATCAGTCCTTGAACCTCAGTCAATTCAGGTTCGGGGAGGCGGCTGATACCCGACTTTAGCCCTCCACCTTCACACTGCACCTTTGACGGCATGAATAAACACCCGGAGCTTAGATTGCCACTATCCCGACGCAACCACACGCCCATGCCTTTGCTCTGCGTCGAATAACTAGCGTAGTCGTCGATGAGAAACAATTGGTTGTCCGCTCGCCAATGAAAGCACCGATGCGAACGCTCTGCAAGAGGCGCCATTCAACAACAGCATCGGATTTAAATCGGTGTCGGTTAGAACCTGACATGGGCATGCTGCCCTGCTGTGTTGGCCAGTTCTGGCTTTAACCCAGGTCAGGAAACGCCGTGGCATGGTTGACCTCGGGATGCAGGCCAAGTGCGAGCTTCCTAGACAAGTTAAGAGGCTGAGCACCACCCTAGTCAAATAGTCGGGGTAGATTGCTGTACGCTTTGGCTCATAAGTTAGACTTATGTCGGCTCTGGTTGACATGGTGAGCTGCGTATTGATTTTTGAGCCGAAGCGGTCGAGCTCGCCAAGCCCAGTTTGGAACCAAAGTATTCACGTGCTTCGAAATATATTCAAGTTTTGTTTCCTTGCTATCGTGGCTATGTGGTGATGAGGGTCTCCCGTTTCAGACTTTGAAGGGACGTATCAAATTGACCGAGAGTATGCGATGGGTGTTGTATGTAAATCATTGGGTTAACCTTTAATACGCTCATATCGCCACTATTTCTTCGTATATAGTTTTAAACTTAATTACAGGAGCTGTCATACTGCTTCATTTGCGCGTTTCATCTAGTATTTATTGAAGTGACCACTGTATAAAATTATATAACTAGCGCTAGCTGCTACTGGCTTTCTTTCTTTAGAAATACAAGAAGCTTTGCGCGAATATAAAGAGGCTTGACTGAGATTCATTGGCTAATAATGTCACAATCATAGTGCCAACAAGGGAAGAGGTTTCGCCAGTTTCTCCGACTTTACTAGTCACAAAATGGGTAGTCATTGGTTAGGTTTACAGTAAAATTTATCGTTCCCCCAAGTCTATCTAGCCAAGTTAATTCAAACTTAATCACCGTGGAGCTACTTCTAGCAATATTGTTCTATTTTGACGTCATAATTTCTATTGGTAGCTTCCATTAAGCTCATCTGCTGCACCAAGTGTATTGTTTGAAATTACTTGCGCTCTGGCAGTGGTAACGCTTCGCTCTCACAAAAATTCTTTGCACATACAGGGCACCTTGTGGCTCGACTATACTCCGATGAGGGGATCTTTCAAATACCACATGTAATCACCGGTGGGCTCACAATGCGTCTCTGTAAGCCCGTTGCCCATATGCCGGAAACGATTCTCGGTCCAGTATGTTATCCCGTAGCCCTCCCATCTAACATTCTTTGTAGCCTTGTAGTAATGGAAACGGCTATCTGCATACATCGCAGTCAAAGGCCCATGGGACTTTCCATCCTTGAACCAGCTTCCTAGACGTCGATAGACGTCCACCATTAGTATTTAGTACTGTGTCTCCTCAAGCTGCAACGCCTTGACACACTTACTGCAAACTGAACCAAAGACAAGTCTTTTCATCACCTCGTGCGTATGGTGGTAGAGATCCCTGACCGCCTCCTCTTTGGGCTCCACGGCTTTGAAGTTTTCCGTTTGTATTTTCTCAATGACCTGACATACGTAGCGGACAAGCCACTCAAGCGTCTGTATAAAAGAGCCAGCGACAACAGGGACATTGGGGCCAACAAATCCGAAAGGGCATTAGCGGGACGAAGTTTTCATTTGCTCCAAAGCCTGGGGACTAACAGAAGAGATTGGGCAAGTTTTCTGCCGCTATTCCAAGACCCCCCTGCAGCGAGTTATTGAATTGTTCACGAAGAGCCGTGTTGTTGCGCCCGTATACTTCGAAACTGGGGTGTATGATGCGCCAAACCCTGTCGCGCACAAAATGGAATTAACTCTATGCTCTGTGCCAGACTCTTCCATCACCCCCGCCTCAGTCAAACGGGTGATGTCCTTACGCACAACTTGAAAGTTGCCCGCGGTTAAGGCTCCCAGGAAACCGTCACCGGGAGTTGGGCGGCGGCACCCTATCCCAAATGAAGGAGTAAAATCCGCAGCCAACGCGGCATTGTTGCCGAGTTGTGCCTTCACGAGTTCGTTTGTAACACTCTGAGCGGCATGTTGATCTGCATTTCGCAGATGAAGCTATGAAACCTGAGCATTCTTTTGGGTAGGGTTTAATCAGATGAGTGTGGGAGCATATTATTGCGAAACCTCTGTTCATTTCATCATCTATCTCTCGGCAATACTCGGCGTGTTTTTTCAGGTCGTTACGATTTGGCTGTCGGTATCTGATTTATTAGAGAATATAAGAACACTCTCCGCCGGGCCCTGCCTTGGAGCCTCCGAGGCCTGGGGTGATCCATGTCGGTTATATCATAAAAGCAACTAGCCTTTAAACATCTATATATACACATGTATGTATATATCTAACAGAATCATGCCCTCTATTCCGACGCCGCGCAGGGCGAAATTATTATTTTACTTACCAGGTTGAATTGCTGGAATGAGTTGAACTCCAGACCACTCCGATCCAATCGCTGCAACGGTCTTCCCGTCAAGGTCAAAAGACGCATCCCAGTTGGCAGTGCGAATAAGTTTCCCTTTGAAGCCATGAAATCCAGGGATATAAGGCCACGTCCACGAGCTTGAAACATCATCCAAATTAGCAGTGACTCAGCTAGTGATGTCTTACCTAACTTGATTTTGAATGCCTGAAGCTTTTAGAAGGATATGGCAAGTATCTTCGAAGCAGTCCTTATCGGTGTCAATGATAATCAACTTCCATATATCAAGTTCTTCATTCCAGGGTGCAGACTTAACAACACAATGGAATTTAATATGCTTCTCCAGGTCGTGTTTCGTAGCAGCATCTTTGAAATACTGCCAGATTGCTTTTGAGCCTGAGAAGAACTTTGACCAGATGGGGTTCTTATCCCAGGAGAATTGACTATGCACCAGACTCATTAGTAAACGGGCTCAATACAAGCTCCAGGATGCGAAACTGACTTACTACAAAACATATGTTTGCAGTTTTTTCGGTCAGTTTTCAAGGTGTGCATCCCGTTGCTGCTGTGAATAGTACGACTTACCTGTTTTCGTACCACGCTGCGCCAATTTCGGGGCTTTTCTCGCAAACGACGAGGTCAACATCACTCAGAAGCTGCTGGATTTTATGAGCAGCCTGAAGGCCGGCTGCCCCAGCACCAAGCAGACTAAACGCAACGGACGACGGCCGTAAAGCGGCCGCTCTGAAATTAGGTAGCCATCAAAGTCTCTGCCGTTGTACCATTCATTCCTATGAATGCCATCAGTTTTCGACAGACAGGTTGTCGTGCAGCTGCGTGTTAGCGGGGAACTCTTGGACTCCCTCTTGTAGGGGTGGTGTATAGTTGTTCTTTAGCAAACCTCCATTACGGCTTATGAGATTTAAATGACTGTAGTTACGCGTCCGGGATTGATTAGCGGTTATTTTGGCAAAGTTGAAGCTTTTTTATATCTTGAGTCTATGCAGATGTCGTCGGATATATATACTCCTCGTAAAAATTGTAACTGAAACTGAAGCCATCCGCAATATGCAACACTTGGGTAGTTCTTCTCCCTTTTATCGTAAAAAATCTATTTCATTCCACTAGATAATGGCCCACATCTACAGTCAACATCTGCCTCACTTGTCTTAATGGCTGGTTCGTTATATCCTCCGAATTAATGGAATCCACGGATCAACGTTAATCAATGCAAGCCTTCCAAACTCTTTATATTACAATTTGTAGTATACAAAATAATAAAAAATATAGATAGTAACAATCTTGGTAAATATAATAAGTAATGCCGCATATAACTTTTATTGTTTAACAAGATACACTAGAAATTGTCAACTTAACCCTCCTGTGCCTACAAACTTGACTCCTTTGATACGCTTAAAGCTTACAAATTTGAGGCAATTACAAAATTCTTTTGTCTGTACTGAAAGAAGAACGATGCAAGAATTAACTCGGGAAAATGCCTGGTGCAAGACAAAATGATCGACACATATGAAAGCCAGGGCAAGGGCAGATGAGTCTAACATAACGATTGAACCGTGTACATAGCGAGCACATGTAGTGAACTGAAATGAGGATTTGAAAACTTGGTCTTTGTCGTTTTTTTTCTATCCTTAGGTACGAGTGGTACGGTGATGATAGTTGAAATGAAGTATATAAGATTACAGGTAATGGCTATTTTTGCTTAGTTTGTGCTCTGGATTATGTTCTTGATAGGACATCTTGGTGTTCCTTTTTATTCAACTTGCGAAAGACAGAAGACTCACACATTACAAGACGAAACAAATTATCACTGCGGCCGGATGAAGCACCATGGATTGTATGGCATGTTGCTCCCCAACTTTATGCCCTCTCGCCCAAAATATAACACGAATTTACTCTCGAGGGGAGTGCCAAGCGCCGCCCAGTCAGGTCGTATGGCAAAACATGGTCACACAAAAGCAACTAGACAACATTTCCAATAACCGATGCGGTTAACCCTCGCAAATAAGACATATACCGCCAATTTCCGTTGTCGGCAGTGGGACCTTGCAGAATGATCCATGTCCGCAAATTTCAACATCAACCTGACTTCCGCGACTTTCCCCGCATTCACAACCAACAACATAATATCTGTCGGTGAGCGTATCTCTCCAAAAGTCACGAGGCTGGCTATAGCTAGTCTCCGACTTTCGGAATGCCCAAGGAGCTTATTTTGTCGACTGTCCAACCTTTCGCCCACTCGCATTTGTGTGCTCTTCAACTTGGTGCTACATTTAACTGACGCGTAGTCGAACCGCCAAGATCAAAGACGGGACCAGGATTCTGCCAAAATCGATACACAGAATGGCAGAGGGAGACGAGAAATACGGCATAAGCCGCGATGATGCGGAAACAGGTGTCGCCAAGCCCGTGAGTCAAGCATCATCATCCCCTTATTGCTGCTCGACGCCACGACCACACATCCGTGATGCCAACGAAATAGTTACCAGGTTCACAATGAAGAAACCCCCATTAGCAGCAAATTAGAAAAACGCCTACTATTGAAACAGGATCTGCGCATCCTTCCCCTCTGCGCGTCAATCTACTTCCTGTCGTTTCTCGACCGCTCCAACATTGGTAACGCCAAGATCCTCAATTCTTCAACACGTGATGACCTGCAGACCGCCACGGGCATGACAGATTACCAATTCAACATTGCGCTGATGGTATTCGTCGTGGCATACGCTGTATTCGAGGTCCCTTCCAACATTTTGCTCAAGAGATTGCGGCCGAGCAGATGGCTGGCCGTCTTGATGTTTTGCTGGGGCGCTCTAACCATTTGCCTGAGTGCCGGTAAGAACTTTGGCGGTGTGACGGCGTTGAGGTTCCTGCTGGGAGCGTTTGAAGCAGGCCTTTTCCCGGGGCTGGTGTATTATTTGACGTTTTGGTACAGGCACAATGAGAGGAGTGTGAGGTATGTACATCCCGGTAGGATAGGCTGGGAAAGTTGCTCATCGTGTCCTTGCAGGGTGGCTTTTATCCTCGCTTCAGCTACCTTGGCTGGAGCCGTAAGTCGGCTTCCGCACTTGTTCAAGACACCATGACCGCCCTTGGCTAACATGTGAACAGTTCGGAGGCGCAATTGCTTACGGAATAGGCCACATCAACACGGCCCATAACCTCCGGGGCTGGCAATGGCTGTTCATCATTGAAGGAATTCCCTCTTGCGTATGCGCCGTCCTCGTCTTCTTCATGCTGCCGGACTACCCCGAGACGGCGAGCTGGCTGAGCAAATCCGAGCGAGACCTCGCCGCCCGACGGCTCCTCCACGAGGGCAGCAAAGGGACACAGCCGGCCATGACATGGGCGGATGCCAAAGCTACCCTGACGGACTGGCGGCTCTACCGGCCATTATGCGATTTACTTTGCCATTAGTCCCGGGTTTGCGAGCCTGAGTCTGTTTTCGCCGTCGATTGTCTCGGGACTTGGCCACCAGGATCTCCAAGCCCAACTCTTTACTGTTACTCCTTGGGCAGTTGCATATGGTACCTTCGTAGCCCGCATCACACCAGTGCATGTTCCATGACTTGAGCTGACAGAAACACAGTCTGCCAACTAGCCGTCGCCTACTCAGCAGACCACTTCAACGCGCGCGGCCTGCATACCGCCGGGGCAGCTGCCGTTGCTGCCGTGGATTCATTTTCTCGGCTGCCCTGCCGCCAACCGCCTATGCGTCACGGTATGGCGGCCTCATTCTTGCGACGTCAGGCGCATTTTCAGCCATCCCTCCACTGTTGGGCTGGCTGTCGTCCAACATGTACAGCACCGCGGCTACAGGCCTGGCTATTGCCATCAATGTCAGCTGCGGAGGAGGACTGGGGCAGATCCCCGGTGTTTGGATATACAAGGGGACTGAGAAAAGCAGGGGATACCCGACCGGCCACTGGACGAATGCCGGGTTCCAGATATTTGTTGCTGCCGCTTCTGTTGGGCTGTGGGCGTTTTACAGGGTGAAAAATAGAAGGTTGAGTGAGGAGGCGAGGAGGAATGGAGCTGAGCCGACCCTCTTCAAGCTGTAATGGGCTGCTCATGCGTCTGTGGTACCGATGGGAATGCAGCTTGTGGCAGGATACTGTGCGTCACTCAAGTTGTGGTACTACTGGTGTTAAAAAGGGGCAAATTTACCAAACTTCTAGGTGACATTTCTTGGAGTAGGGCTTGTTCGCATGCACAATTGTTTATTAACAGTGAGCATCTTTGAAGTCCATGTCGTCACTAGGCTCATATAGGTTAAGAGTTATGGTTAATCGTGGATATGCCTGATATATTTCCCCATTCAGAAGTCAACACCATTATACTGGCAAGTAGTATATTATAGTATGGAGTGCGATAGCCAGGCACCTGACCTGGTCCAATACTTTTTGTCTCACACTGTACTCTAGGCGTAACGTGAAGTAAGGGATGGCATAAATCCCATGTTTCTCTATATTTGTTATTATAACTACAACTACAATGCCTCTTTGTACGTAGCGTTTCTCGGCTGCGTCCGTTAGGCAACTATTGACGCAATAACATGTCTAGTAGCTGTAAAGTAAGGAATATCAAGAATATCTGGGACGAATATCAGGTGGCACACACGAAAGAGCATCTAACATTTGAATAGGTTGAGCAGGTACTTGCTGACCAGCTATGCTTGGTCAAGTTATTCGATAGGGTTAGGGTTGAGCATCATGCAGGAGGCACAGCGACTCGGGGACGCGCAAAGAGAAATCAAGGTAGCGAAAGCTTGTGATTGGTGAGGAGGCGGCGTGGCTCCGAGCCCGTCCATGCGCTAGTGTCTGGTGCGCCTAGCCGCTCCTGGGGCGGCTATGACGTCGTTGCCTCGACGGATCGCAGATTTTGGACGCTTGCGAGCTTGCCTCCAGCGTCATTATCTCGGGGGCTCTGGAGCGCTTGTTGCTGCCAAGACCCTGTTTCGACGCACGAAGCTGGTGAGGACCATGATCAGCATCCTCTCTCTGCCAGCATGTCTCGGGGAGAAAGCCCCGCGAGCCAACTCGAGCACGATGACGAGACGGGCTCTGCAGTAAGCCATGCTGCTTGGCTGATACTTACAGCCGCACGCCAGGCACAGCCCAGGTGACAAGTAGCCGTCTTGGCGAAGTCAACATACTGAATCAGCGTGCCTTCTGCAAACAGGCTCAACCTTGTCGCCCGGTTCGTTGCCCAGGCTGCATGCTCAAGGCCTGTCAATGGTTAGAAGGGATGATGATGATGGCCGGACCACTGCCGCCGTCATCGCCGGGTTGGCCCTCGCCATGTGATGACACCGATGATGCCACCGCGTCTGTGGACTGGTCGATCATCTTGACCCCAACAAGAGTGGCGATATGCTGCAAGCCGTAACAGCAAAGCCCTGAATATCCTGTTCACGCCAACGGATAGGATATCCTCACCACGTAGCGGGAGGCTGTGAAATGGCTGGCCGAGCATCGAGACGATCAAACGCATCGGCACAAGGGCTGTTCAGATGTAGGACACCTGGGTTCTCCGTTGATTCCTAGAAAGAAGTATGCGTGCAGCTTGATAATATGACTCCGTCGTGAAGTTGAGTGGTGATGGACCCTGTCATTCGGCACGTCATACTTTCTCCAGGTATTGATTGATGCTTCAAGGGCTCAAGGGCTGGGGGCCCACCGAACCCACTGCCGCAGCATTGATGGGAAAAGGCCGCTGCACCAACACCCCAGCCTCCACTGGCCTGGCGCCTCAAGCGGCCGGTTGACGTCTTGCTTGTGGTCCGTAAGCAGCCAGGCTCGACTTTGGCCTTCAAATCTGGTTCCTAATCCACCCAAACGTTGTTTCCGAATCCGCCTCACCTCGGTTTTTTTTTTCCACTGCCTCCGCCCAATCTACCTGGTCTCAGACTTTGTTGTTTTGCTTTAATTGCTATTGTCGCATCTTTTGGGCCCTTCCCCTGCCCCTCTCGTCACTCATCACTCGTCCGTCATTGCACAAGAACAGAATTCCTGCGCTTCGAGCCTCTTGCGTGTCGCATATTCGTCATCGTTCGCCCATCAAAACCCCGCACCCGGTCCGTCGCAATTTAGCAAAAAATCCAATCTCGACGGCAACAATACCTTAAACACGACGCCATAGAAAAGGAAAAAAAGAAAAAAAGGTAGCCGAGAGCCAAAACATACACCTTTGGAACAAACTTTCCACGCGTTGGTATACGTATTGCAGCACTGGAAGCCACGCCTTAAGAAGCATCGGTAGTCGCTAATTAGCGGCGCTTCACTACGCCCGCCATGTCGACGATCCAGCAGCTCAAGAACTTTATCCGCCATGGTAAGTTGTATTTGTCGCATTGTATCTTCCTCCCCTATCATGTAAACCCCTCGCCCCGAGTTGCTACTTGTCGCCATTCATCGTCATTCATTCCTACCTGGTCAGCCCCTGGAATTTGCCCGGTCAGCCATGATGGCATACCCCCTCAGATTCCTCTCAGACTGTTTCTGTTGTGCAATGACGTCTACCCTCAGTACGCAAGTCACTTTCTCACATGGTTTCCATTCTGCCTCAAATAATAAGCGTTCTTCATACTAATCGCAATTTTCCTTCGCTCCTAGGCAAACAAGCTCGCAATGTTAATGTAGACGACGAGCCCTTGAGGAAGAATGATGTACCACCTGCTCCCGCTGCAAACCAGGAGAAAATGAACATCTCCGACCCCGTCCTACACCAACAGCTTCCTCACAAAGAGCCACTCGAGGCCTACTCAGAGGCGTCGGGAGATGCCCAGAACCTAGCTGCTCAAGCCCACGCCGCTGCCGCCCACCACGTTGAGCTCGCTCAAGATATCAACGCCAAAGCGTGTGGCACTTCCAAGAAACGCGTCGACGATGCTAGCCTGGCCAAACTTGTTGCCGAGGAAAACGCAAGCAGGGCCAAGTTCCCTAGATATCCCGGTCTAGAACGATGGGAGCTGATCGAAAAGATGGGCGACGGTGCGTTTAGCAACGTATATCGCGCCCGCGACTTGCAAGGCGACGCTGGTGAAGTTGCCATCAAGGTCGTTCGTAAATATGAAATGAATAGCATGCAAGTAAGTGCTATTGCGTCCAAGAGCGTATACACGTCGCTCTTTTCCTCTTTCCCTGTTTGATTTCTGTCCTGCCGTCTTCTGTCCTCTCCTTTTGAACTTTCTTGGCATTCCCTTTCGACTGCTTTCCGTTGCGCAACTCTCTATATTATATATCGACCGATTACCAACATTTGGGGTTCGCGCCCCGGATAGGGAGATAGGCATCTACATCCGGAATTCAAAAAGGCTCCGAAAGCAGCAGAGGTGCGAACACATTTCTCTTTTGTCAGATTGCAGTTGTCAATTCACATGTTGCTTTGAGCAGCATCTATTTACGCCTTTGACGGCATTGGCCAATCTACAGTTCAAGAAAGTCATGGGAATGCTAACCTCTCGTCTTCAGCGTTCGAATATATTGAAAGAGGTCCAGATTATGCGCCAGTTAGATCATCCGAACATTATTAAGCTCATCGATTTTTCCGAATCCAAGCAATATTACTACATTGTTCTTGAGCTCGCTCCTGGTGGCGAGTTGTTCCATCAGATTGTCCGCCTCACGTACTTTAGCGAGGAGTTGTCTCGCCACGTAATTGTTCGTGTTGCCCGAGCGTTGGAGTACTTGCACGAGGAGAAGGGAGTCGTTCATCGGTGAGACTTTGCCGGCGGAAAAGGTAGTCTGAGTGTTTTTCAGATGGAGAGCTAACTCCATCTAGTGATATCAAGCCTGAGAACATCTTGTTCAACCCGATACCTTTCATCCCCTCCAAAGTCCCGAAACCAAAGCAACCGGGTGATGAGGACAAGGTGGATGAGGGCGAGTTTCTTCCTGGAATAGGCGCAGGGGGCATCGGTGAGATCAAGATTGCCGATTTTGGCTTGTCAAAGATCGTTTGGGAGAGTCAGACTATGACGCCTTGTGGCACCGTTGGTTACACAGCCCCCGAAATCGTCAAGGATGAACGATATTCCAAGTCGGTTGATATGTGGGCCCTCGGATGCGTATTGTATACCCTGCTCTGCGGGTTTCCCCCATTCTATGACGAGAGCATCGAGGTCCTCACCGAAAAAGTGGCCAAGGGACAATATACTTTCTTGTCACCGTGGTGGGACGATATTTCCCAATCCGCCAAAGACCTCATCACCCACTTATTGACTGTCGATCCGGATAAGCGATACACCATTCGTGAGTTCCTTGCCCACCCGTGGATTCAGGGTACTGGACCAACTCCTAGCGAGGAGAGGAGGAAGTCGGAGGCTGTTCTCCGAGGCTTTGATGCCAGCAAGCTGGACGAGGTGGGCAAGCGGTATGACTTCCGGTCACCTGGTGCTGTCAACTTGCGCGAGGTGTTTGATGTGAGCTATGCTGTCCATCGTCAAGAAGAAGAGGGCAAGAGACGTGCTCAAGTCGGAGCTCGAGCCGGCGGCATGGGCAAGCCTTTGAGTGGCTTGGATGAAGAAGATGAGGAGGCCGACGAGATGCAAGTTGACCAGCAAGCTCAGAATAAGGCCCCCAACAACGCGACCCGTGCCCTTGAACAAAGCATGCGGAATACCAATATTCGAGATCAAGAAGCCCATGTTCGGGGACGGGAACGTGAACGCGCGCCTGCGCCTGCGCCTGAGAGGGGGTATGGCCAGCATTCGGCAGCCGTGACCGCTGCAGCTAGACAACAGGTTCGAGACCGAAATCGACAAAAGGGCGCGTTCGAGCTGAATCTTGACAATGCAACACTACTTGGCAAACGAGGCAAAAAGATTTCCGCCATGGGCGCATAAGGATATGCGCTGTCTTGGGGTTGACGATACCCATATTCCTGGGCCACGCAAGACTTAGACATTTCTTAATATACATTGAGGCGAAGTGGTTCCATCAGACACAGTTTTTCATCTGGAAAGGCATATTCGAGATAGCGACATGGGAGAGAGCAATAAACGAAGGGCGTTGTAGTCAACTTGTGTTGTTGCCCTTCATTGGTTCGTTTTCATATACTACATTTTTCATATTTACGTTCCCCAGCGCTGGGATGAAGAGAAGATCAGCCTTTGATTTGGAGGCGTCGGGACTTTTGGAATCGGCTTTTTTTTTGTTCTTGTTGTTCTTGTTGTTGTTTTATTTTTGTTTTTTTTCCTTTGCCTGTTTCGAGCGCTGTCGACCTCAAGCAGCTGGGGGAGCTGGTGCCAGAGTGCTTGATGCATTTGTCCAGTGCTTTGGGCGGGATACATTTACACGGAGTTTTGGCAACATGTACATTTGTTGAGTGCTCTAATGAACAACATGCAAGAATTTTGCCTACTTGACCATTTTGATCCCTAATTTCGTGCTTGTGCGGTACGAATTGTGCATTGTCGGCTACGTGTTTGTTTCGGCAGTGATCTCGTGTCCGTAGACTCGACGTCGGGTCCTTTTCGACTCCCTCCGTCCTCTTGTCAAATATGGATCTCTGCCATTGCAGTACGACGCGTTTTTTTTTTCCAAAGCAGTGTACCTTGCTTCTATGTAATTCACACGGCTAGAGTTGCTTTAGGCCCGCTGCCGTCTCGGTACAGGGCGTGCCCAAGGCTCCCACTCTCACCACTTTCCCTCGCCTCTCCAAGCTGTTGCAGGGCCTCAAAATATCGCCAGCACCATCTTCGTAGGGCCCCAATCCAAAAGTAACACCTCTCGGTCAAGGCCGTCTCACCGAGCGATACCCTGCAAACTGCCTTTCTACGAAGATGCTCCAACTCTTCCCCCCTGCCAAGCCCCGTCTGTCAACAATCCCTCTCAATGCCCAGGTCAAGCCGGACAACAAACTACCTTAGCGAGCTCGAATCTTGCAGTGTCCTCTGGCATCCGATCTCTCTGACAAGCTCATCTCCTGGATCACGCTAATTCTCGTCTGATGGGAGGATTCCTACGCTGGAGAGATGGGAAAGCACGGTGGACCAGGCCTCGTGAATGCCGCACAGCAAAACATCACAATTACCATGGCAAGTACACATCTGGAGGTGACCCGTGCAATTCAGCTGTACAGTGGGTCTCTAAATCGTCTTATCCCGATTGACTCCAACGCCTGGTAATCTTACAATGTACGGTCCCCGGAGGGAAGCATGTATGTAACCCCCAACAACGAAATCACTTTATAATTCCTCCTCAGTGACCATTCGATCCCCATTAGCCTGCCCCACCTGTCCTTCCTTCTTAGGCATAGTAGCCTCCTTGTCAATCATTTGTCTAGAAACCGCAACAATATTGTCTTCGATTAATTCCTGTCCGACGTCCTCCAAGTGCTTCTTGGGGTCCAGTTTGCCGACATAACGCGTCTTAAGCTGTTCCTTTGTCAACTCTGTCTCCTCCTTGACCCTCTTCTCGTAGCCATCGGCTAAGCTGACCAGGCGCTGCAGTCGCTCCTTGTTCTTGTCGCCTTCTGAATGAAAGTCGTTCATCTCCAGCGCCTCGGTCCACACGTGTTTGTGGAGGTTCATGAGCATGTTCTCTTCGAGGGCCGTCTTTCGGTAGTTGATACCAATCGAGTAGTAGTGGCGGTTGAGGCCGTGAATAAGAGCCTGGATTGAGGGCTTGTTCAGGTGGCCCAGATTACTGGTGCTCTGGCGTGGCTCCTGGCCCATCATCAACAGCTGCGGGTTGATCAGGCGGAACGCGTCAATGACAACCTTGCCCTTGACGGACTGAATGGGGTCGACGACGACGGCCACGGCTCGAGGGTTCAGCTGCTCAAAGGATTGCTGAGTGTTGATGTCAACCGATGACAGCCAACAGCCAAACCCAGGATGTGAGTGGTACCAGCCAACAACTGACTCGGGTCTGTTTACTCCATTTGTAAGCCTCCCTTTCAAGATTGCCCGTGTGATGGCCGGCAGTCTCTTACCTTCCTGTTTGCCTTAACATGTCCATCATCTTGGTCTGAAACACGGGATCGACAGCCTCGACACTGACACCTGTACCGCTTTGAGGCATGGCAAAGACGTCCATCACCTTGACTGTGAAGTCGTCCACAAACTCCCCCAGCATGAGCCCCATCACTTCCATAGGCACACCGGCGCGGCCGTGTCGCAGCATCTTCAACAGCGCCAGTGATGAAATGTAAACCGTCTCAGAGTTGTCAATGAGGTTCGTGTTGTCCTGCAATGACACAAAGGGCACAAGTTAGTCTGCAGCGAAAACAGCCAAAGCAACAGGGCTCGGGAGCTGCACTTACCGTGCCGTGGGCGGCTCCTCCAAGGCCACCCATGCCACCACCAAGCAAATTTCTGAATCGCTCCATCCTTAAGGACGTAGAATGTAGTTCTGAGGCGAGGAAAGTAGAGGTAGAGACCACTACGTGGAAATCAGTTCCTGATATCCACGACGTAACGTGGTTTGTGTTGAGGTTTGGCTGCTGTGGAGCTAGCTTGCCTTGCGTTGACGCCAGCATCGGCAGCCTGTCTGAAGTGACGAGCTGAGTAATGAAGTCACGTGGCACGCTTTGTCAATGGACTTTGTGTACACGACCAACGCCGCGTGAACTTTAATCCGTCAGCCATCTACACCAGTCGGCGGGAGGGCAAGTCGCGACCTTCCTTGCGACGGCATTCTTTTAAGCCTGCAACTTCTCCCGTCTTGCGACTTTATAGCATAATGCAGCTGGCTCCCTAGACACCCATTCTCCTCTCTAAACTGTTAGAAGCATTTCATTTATACTCATTGTGCAGACTCTCATTCTCAACTGCCCGGGCTTCAAAAACCCCAGACTCCCGCTGCGATGGGCGACTCTAACTTGGCCCAGGCCCAGGCCCAGCTGGGCTCTGTCGCCCTCAATGGCTCCTCGCCAAAGAAGGTAGCCTACTTCTATGATTCAGATATCGGTAACTACGCATATGTCACTGGTCATCCTATGAAGCCCCATCGAATTCGTCTTGCGCACAGCTTGATCATGCAGTACAACCTGTACCAGAAGATGGAAATTTACGTGAGTTCTGGCGCCGTCATGACCACCTCGGGAAGACTAAAGGCTGACCTGGTTTCAGCGAGCCAAACCCGCGACTAGAGGCGAAATGACACAATTCCATACCGATGACTACATTGATTTTTTGCAAAAGGTCACTCCAGACAATATGGACAGTTACATGCGTGAGCAGGGCAAATATAACGTCGGCGACGATTGCCCGGTCTTCGATGGATTGTTCGAGTTCTGTGGAATCAGTGCTGGCGGGAGCATGGAGGGCGCTGCCCGCTTGAACAGACAGAAATGCGACATTGCTGTCAACTGGGCTGGTGGCCTTCACCATGCCAAGAAGTGTGAAGCAAGTGGTTTCTGCTATGTCAACGGTGAGTTCTGCCACCACCATACGCCAAAATTCGGTACTTCTAACAAGGTTTAGACATTGTTCTTGGCATTCTCGAGCTTCTCCGATTCATGAAGCGCGTCCTCTACATCGATATTGACGTTCATCACGGTGACGGCGTCGAGGAAGCGTTCTATACGACCGACCGTGTCATGACAGTATCTTTCCACAAGTACGGCGAATATTTTCCTGGCACCGGTGAATTGCGAGACATCGGCATTGGACAGGGGAAGCACTATGCTGTCAACTTTCCGTTGCGCGATGGTATCACCGACCAGACCTACAAATCGATTTTTGAGCCAGTCATCGAGAGCGTCATGAAGTACTACCAGCCGGAAGCAGTTGTTCTCCAGTGCGGCGGTGACAGTTTATCTGGCGATCGCCTGGGCTGTTTCAACTTGAGCATGGACGGTCACGCTAACTGCGTGAACTACGTCAAGAGCTTCGGGCTACCCACCTTGGTCCTGGGTGGTGGTGGTTACACGATGAGAAACGTTGCTCGTACGTGGGCATATGAGACTGGTGTTCTGGTTGGCCAAGAAATGGACCGTACTTTACCATACAATGAATACTACGAAGTAAGTTGCAGCTTATGTTCTTACCACCCCCGAATTCAGGCTAATTGGCTATAAGTACTATGCTCCGGACTTCGAGTTGAACGTGCGAGCCTCAAATATGGAAAACTCAAACAGCAGGGAGTATCTAGATAAGATCACTGCCGCAGTCATCGATAACCTTCGTCAGACTGGGCCTGCACCCTCAGTTCAGATGCAAGACGTGCCGCGGAAGCCATTTGGTGGTATGACTGATGAAGAAGAAGCCGAGCTAGATGATTTAGACGAAGACGAAAACAAGGACGTTCGAATGACTGAGCATCGCTGGGACAAGCATGTTGAGAATGGGGCAGAATTCGAGGCCAGCGACGACGACGAAATGGCTGCTGCAAGTGGTGCAACTCGAAGCAATGGAAACAAGCGGACTTTCAATGACTTCAAGGACGCCGATGCAGCTGAGGATTCTCGCAGCAAGTCACTCAGGGAGAAACAAGACGACAACAGCAAGGATGCTGTCGAAGCCGAAACTCACGATGTGAACGATGACACGATTGAGGACGTCGGGGCTATGGAAGAGCAGGAGAATCAGGCTGCAGAACAAGAAGAGACAGAAGACCAAGACTCGAAGGAAAAAAAGGTCGATGCTGACGGTGATGTCGGTATGGCATACTCGAGTGTCGCCGACGAAGCCACCATCAAAAAGGAGGAGGGTGAACCCGAATCTGTGCCCGAGGACGAGAAGGAGTCGGAGATACCTACTGAAGAGAAGGCTTCCGTTGCGGAACCAGACAAACCCGCCGAGGCTGAAGAGACCACAGAAGCCAAGGCAAGCGACAAGCCCGCTGTTGAAACTGCGTCCGAAGAGCCGGTCCAGAAAGATGACGAGGCCCAAGCAGCAGCTGAAGCTGAAACAGAACCTATGGAAGTCGACGACAAAGAGAAGTTCGAGGACAAAGCTGAGGATGATTCATCCAAGTAGTAAAGTCCTACGCTTTTGAGGAACTGGTCAGCTTGATTGGTCAGCGTGAGGTGTATTTGTTTTTACAAGGCTTCCAGCGTGTGTCCTAGCTTGGTCGGCTTCTAAAGCCATGTTGGACATGATGTTATTGTACAATTTCGGGACGAGCTGGCCCGACGGGGCGTTTTCGGCGTACAGGCATAGCGGTACTACAAAGTTAGTTGGGAGGTTCGCTAGGAGCAGAGCCGTTTGGTTAGTTGGCTGTATCTTTCGGTATCGATATACATTTTAGCCACAGAATTGATTATTTTTTCTATCTGAGCGAGTGAAGAGTGAGAGTTGTTGATATGCATAGCAAGGAGCCAAGGACTCGCGGGTGACTTGTAAATTGAGGTGTACTTATTGGACCCTGGCCCAGGCTCCAATGCGCACCCCACTACGTCCCTCGCAACCAAGTTTTTCTTTTTTTTTTTTCCCAGCATGCCAAACCATGCTTCAACAGCTTTTTTTATGCGGGGACCAAAGTTTGGCTCATCAGTTTATCGGCGCCGCATTGCACCCCGCGCCACACCACTTTTTGATCTGTCCCGACACCAACCTCACAATTGAATGAAAGTCTGTAGCTTGACCGCTGGCTCAAGACGATTCTCTCCATCAATGTAGCGACTATTTCCGATTCAAAACCTTTTCAGCGCCCTCGACCCATCCGAGTTTCCAACCACGTCTCTCCCAAGGACTCTAAGCTGAGCCACCGAACGCACGCAAAATGCCTGCCCCAGCGGCACCCGCCGCCGCAGGCGGGAGCGAGTCGGATGCCGCGAAGCTCGCCGTCTGGAAAGAAGCCCTCTACGAACGGTGCAAAGAAGCTGGCCCGGGCAACGACTTGTTCTCGCAAGATGACTTGCTGCGGCTGGACGTCATCCCCAACAAGGACCTGCTGCTGCTGGCGCGGGTGGTGCAGTCGCTCAGCGACGACAAGCTGTTCATCACCATGAGGGAGGCGAGCGGGCAGGTTCTCTGGAAATGGCGAGATGCGCAAGAAGCTCACAAGTGAGTTTGTGATCCCCCCCCCCAAACCGGATTTTCACCCCTCCCAGGTTCCTGGCAGGAAAACGATTTTTTCGTCATGCAAGTGGCCTGTGCTGACCTTGTGGCCCTGCAAGATACAAGCAATGCTCAACCGACGAGCAAGTCATGGTGTATTCGCTCATCGACGACTCCGGCGGCGACGGAATATGGTCGCAGACGTTGCAGAAACGGCTCAACATGCACGACAGCGTGCTCAAAAACGCCATCAAGCAGCTGCAGGCCAAGGGTCTCATCGCGCCCTTCAAAAACGTCGAACACCCCAATAAAAAGATGTACATAAAGGCGTCGATCCGGCCCAGCGACCGCGCCACCGGAGGCCCGTGGTACACGGACCAGAATCTCGACGAGGCCTTCATCGAGGAACTGCAGCGCGTGGTGTTCGACTTCGTCAAGCGACAGAGCGGATACCGTAGCACCCATAGCAGCGGCGGCGCCAGCGCCAGAAGCCAAGTGCCTACAAAGGGTGTCATCAAGGGCACCGCTGCAGACAAGGGCAAGAAGCGCGACGCAAGCGAGATGAGTAAACCCCCCGCCAAGGCAGTCAAGGCCTCTGCAGGTGCGACTCCAAGGCGAGAAGCAGCCCTGTTGCCTCTTCCTGCGGGCTATACGGCGTATCCAACGGTTCGAGATATCGCCCGCCTCTTGTCTAGTAGCGGTATTACGAATAATACGATCTTGTCGGAGGAAGATGTTAAGAAGCTTGTGGATGTGTTAGTGTGGGATAACCTCATTGAACCCATTAAGATTGCTGGTCGAATGGGGTACCGTGTCTGCAGAGTCGCAAAGCAATCGCCTCAAAATTGGGCAGGGAGAGAAGATCCTACAGGGCGAGGTGGCGACCCAGAGCCTTATCTCAGCCCTTATACGGAAGCGCCCTGCGGGAAATGTCCTGTTTTCGAGCTCTGCGAGGAAGGGGGGCCTGTGGGACCTAGCAATTGCGAATATTTCAAGAGATGGCTAGGGTCGGATGTGATCTAGCAAATGACAGCATGCGATGGCATATGAGTGGCTAGGTGGTGCCGGATTGCTTGTATGAGTACAGAACGGTGGTTACTGTCATTTTTAGGCTTTTTCTCCTGCTGGTGGGTCAAGGATGCATGGCTTGGGAGTTTTGGCTGGCTGTTTTATGTTGTTTATGGAATCAACCAGATTTATCTGGCTAAGCATGGCATGGCGCATGGAAAATGTTAGACAAAAAAAGATTTAACCAGTAGGCATATTCTTGTGTTACACAACGTCTCTGAAATAAAGCCACCATCACACATGCTAATGCTACAGATTATCAACCTTAATGTTCACTTTTGTGGAACAAGAAGTCGGGAAGTTCAGCTTTTCAAGTGTATTTGTAAGGCAGCTGGTGGGCAGAACGAACCGCCACTCAATCGTAAACCGCCGCTATCGATGTATCCAATATCCGTTTTCCATCCCAAGAACAAAAAAAGGATGACGATGGTAATAATGCAAGGCTAATATCACAATTTACAGCTCACCAGACTTGACGATGGTGGGGCGTTTGCTGTACTTCACAGCACCGCTCTGGGAACCAGTGGCCTCGAGGGCCTTGACAATGTTCATGGACTCCTCGTCAGCGACTTCGCCGAAGACGACGTGCCGTCCGTTGAGCCATGAGGTAACGACGGTGGTGACGAAGAACTGGGAGCCATTTCTGTATACATTTGGGTCAATTACGTGATTCTTAAATGGTAGTGCGAGGAAGTTGCCCCGGCATGGATTGTAGAGCTGGCACTGTAGCCGTGACGCAGGGACTTACGTGTTGGGGCCGGCGTTGGCCATGGACAACAGTCCAGGGCGGTCGTGATTCAGCTTGAAGTTCTCGTCGGCGAATTTGTCACCATAGATGGACTTGCCACCAGTGCCCTATCAACTTGTCAGTGCTTGTGAAAACAAGCAAATTATAGAAATCCTTCGTACATTGCCACGAGTAAAGTCACCACCCTGAAGCATAAAGTCGGGGATGATGCGGTGGAAAGACGATCCAGAGTAACCAAAACCCTTCTCACCAGTGCAAAGAGCGCGGAAGTTCTCGGCGGTTTTGGGAACGACGTCGTCAAATAGGTTGAAGCTGATGCGACCAGACTGCTCTGTTTCGCCAGAAGTGTCAGTATTCGATTCTTGCAATGGTGGGGTGAATTGGCGGAGAGGAAACAACCCGCAGAAGATTGCCGAAGGAAGTTACAGGCGTCACCAACACTACCAGGATGGCATGGACTCAAAATTGTCCGTTTGTTTAAAAGCTCATCCACCGCGACTGGCGTATCTAGGACACATAGAGACCAAAACAAAGTACATACCTTTGATAGTATTGGTAGGCTTGCCGCCCTGCATGACAGGACCCTCCCAGGTAATGTCGAAGAAGCTACCCCCCCAAGTCAGATATAGTTCGGAAGACCAATTGGCGATTTGGGCATAAGAATGAGAGTAAAGAAACTTACACCTTCTTGCCCATGGCTGCGGAGGTTACAGAAAAAAGACGGGCGGTTTGAAATCTGTTTGACGCAGATGCAAGTTGAGGGAGAGAAAAAGATCTGGCGCCGGGAGCGCAGAAGGTGTGGCGGGGTAGGAGGGGTCGAAGAAGTGTTGATCGCATTGTGAGGCAGCTGGAGGGGTAGAGTGTTAGTGGCGGGAGCCGGGACCAATAGAAAAGGCACCAGGAGCTGGCAAAGAAAGAGCCAGTGTGGGCAACTGGAGAGAAGGCAGCGCGGCTGGTTGGAGCAGACGGCCCCAGCATGTATGTAGCCTTCACGGGCATGGGATCACGGCCAACGTCGAACAGCATTGGGCAAGTCGGTCCAATGTTGGTGTGAAGCTCGCCATGAACAAGGAAGCCGCCAAGGCCACCAAGTGTCAAAGGTTGGTCCATTCGACAGTCCCAACTACCACGGCCGCGATTGACAGCATGAGTGGCACGCACGCCCGTCCGGTCAGCAACTTCACCAGTCCTGCCCAAACAATGGACAGACCCGCGATATCCCGCCATTCTTCCGATCATCGCCATGGCTACGGACGGTGAGAACCAGAACCATGTTGTTCGGCGGTAGTGGATCTACCCTGAGAGCCAATGGTCAGGCAAATAACAACCCACTCGCGGACAGTTCGTCGACGAAGCTTGTTGCGCAGCAAAGTGCCATGGCGGTGATGTGTAACTTGCAGCTCTGGCATGACCGATGCGTCTCTGCGGCGAATGGTCTGGACCTGCTTTTGATGGCTGAATGTCTCGTTGACCAGCTGTGTGCATGCATATGCGTGCCCAAGGGCCGGCGGCAACCAAATGAGCTCTTCATTGATGCTGACGAGTTGACTGACTTCACGCTGCTGCTGCCGACAGGGATATCTGCATTGAACATTGGCGAGAAAGAAAACGCCTGCACGTACCTAGAAGGCAAGGGCCTTTGAGTTGATAGTACAGTAAAAATACAAACAAAGGTTGAAAGAAATTTGTTGATGATTGATTGCTAATGGCAAACTCGGTTGACCAAGTCGGAGGCTCGCCAGAAAGGGGAAAAGTTTTGGCTGGGCTGCTGCGGGCTGGGATGCGCGCCTGAAGTCTCAGGTACCTTGTTCCCCTGGAGCGCAAATTGGATTGCTAGACGCATGTCAATATCTTTCGTACAAGGCACTCAACAGACGGCCAAGCAGCGCTATAATGGTTTCATCATAAGCAGATACCACTGCCTGAAGAAATACCAGTTTTTTCCATCCTATTTACTCCTCTTGACTTTGCAAGCACTCCTGCGCTCTAAAGCGAAGTAGAGTCTCACCTTGTACACCTTGATGTTAGTCACGTGACCGTCACTTCCCCTGGTCGCCGTGGGTTGGGGGTGGATTCCTTGACCTGAAGCCCGAGAGACCAGTTGTCCAGGTTTGGGTTTCCAGTCCATCGACGACAGTACTCTCAACCTTGCGAATAACGTCTACCTTGCACGTCGCGGCCTCTCAATAATCGATATTCAGCTCGCTCTTAAGAGCCTGGTCTTGTCTTTGGATTTTTCGCAATGGATTTAAGCGATCTCAAGAGCACGGTCTCCAACCTCACCTTGTACGATCTCAAGGCAGGTTTCCGCAAAGCCCAAAATGGTAAATGAGTTATATCCCAATCACAGTGATCGGCATTCTGACGTTGTTCGTTAGCGGTTATGAACTATACGGAAATGGAGGCGAAGGTACTGCTCTACCAACAACCCAACTATGCGAAACCCAGGTCTGACATCGTTGCGATAGGTGCGAGAAGCTACCAACAATGAGCCATGGGGCGCTTCGTCTACATTGATGCAAGAAATCGCCAATGGCACATTCAACTAGTACGAAACTCGGCGAAAACATTTCTTTCAAATGGCTAACCAGAGATCAGCCAAACACTCAACGAGATCATGCCCATGATCTATCGCCGATTCACCGAAAAGGCCGCCGAGGAGTGGCGACAAATCTACAAGGCACTACAATTGCTCGAGTTTCTCATAAAGCACGGCTCTGAACGGGTTATTGATGATGCTCGGGGACATATTACTCTCCTGAAGATGCTGCGACAATTTCACTACATTGATCAGAACGGCAAAGACCAAGGTCTCAATGTGCGGAATCGAGCCAAAGAATTAGCCGAGCTTCTGGGCGACGTTGAGCGTATCCGAGCGGAGCGCAAGAAAGCACGAGCAACCAAGAACAAATACACCGGTGTTGAAGGCGGCATGACCTTCGGAGGCGGCTTTTCTGGTGGAAGTGGCAGTAGATATGGCGGATTCGGCAGTGAATCGGCAAACTACGGCGGCTACTCCGGTGGTGTCTACGGAGATGGCGGCGGCTTCGGTGGCCAGCATGATGGTTACCGCGAGTCGGGCGGTGGTGGTAGCAGTGGTGCCGGCCGGTCCGATAGGTTTGAGGAATATGACGAGTTCAACGAAGATGAGCGACCATCGAGAGCTACGCGCAAGACCGACCACACATCCACCAAGAAACCGGCTGCCGAACCAGCAAAGAAGAAGGAACCTGAGGTTGACTTGTTTTCATTTGATGACCCAGTTCAGAGTTCAAGCTCCGCTACCCCTGCTGCGACCCAAAGCTCGGGGCTGGCCGACTTGGCTGGGCCGTCTAGTGGGATCGGTGCGGACGATGATGACGATTTTGACGATTTCCAGTCTGCAACACCGGCAACCCAGCCGATTGTTCAACCTTTAGCAACTCCTCTCACTTCAACAGCCACCTCAACGGCCCAGTTCGCCGCCCCCCAACCAGTGTCCGCTCCCAAGACTGCCAATCTTAGCCAGATGGTCAACACTTCGTCTATCTCGCCCGCGCCCAACTCCAGCACTACACCTGGCGCCAACTACTCTGCCTTTGCTGTCCCAATGAACCAAAACCAGCCTCCCAAGCCAACTGGCTTCCAACCTGCCGGTCCGAACTACTTCAGTGGTGTTCCATCTCAAGCATCTAACCCAGCTCCGCCCAACATGTCGGCTATGAGCAACATGGCTTCAACCGGACCAACAACAATGGCGAACATGAAGCCTGTCACCAGTCCTGGGGCTAAGCCAGCCGCAGCCAGCGGCGGTGATGCATTCGGCGCTCTCTGGGGCAAGGCTAGCTCCGGCATCAAGAAGACCGAGAAGTCAACCACCGGGCCTGCAATGGGTCAGCTTGCCAAGGAGAAAAGCAGTGCTGGTATCTGGGGAGCGCCAGCCGTGTCCTCTCAGCCCGGTTCCACAGCTGGAAACAGCGGGTCAGCATCTGGTGATCTGCTTGGCTAGGTTAACATGTACGGATCGTTTTGCTTTTACCTCGAGTTTATTCACGCAAATCTAGCAACGGCTCCTGATGCGGGACTGAAATTGCACGTACTGACCATTGGGATGGATTGGCAATGGCTAATCTATAACGCACGCATTGAGCAGGCATGTTTGAAGTTGAGACTTTTAGATAGGCGTACGGCGCAAGAAAATGAGATTGAACCAGCCATCAGCCATACCGCATGGCACCGTATAGGCGGGTATGAAACCCCGACCGTCAAGCCTCAGTTATCATAATACACAATCGGCCTTAGAATCAGCTGAAAACAAGCTTCTGCAGGGTATTGCATCCATTTTTAGCTCGTGGTCGCCAAAGACAATGTCCGTCAGGCCTTGCAGGACCAAAGCTGCCCGCCGTGGTCCCTCTCATTTGGCCATGCTGCGGCCGGGCAACGCATAGCCGGGTTTGTGGGTTTATGGCAATCGATCAGACGAACCAAGCCCAATCACTCAACTTCTTGGGCCTTCCTCTGTTGCTACCAAGACCAGCGGAGACCCGGGCAGACGCGCTTAAATGGTGCGATTGCAGCAAGGTTGTGTAAGCGCCGGCTTTTGCGTCGTGGTGCAGACAACAAAGTGATTGGTCAATCGGGCGGCTGCCCACACTGGTCAATGTCTCAAACATGCTTGTCATGGCTGGTCCCCTCCAGGTGTGAGTCGTTGATGCGTCGTTCACCAAGGATGTGTAAACCGGGTTTGTGTAGTCGCCGGAGGCTCAAAAACTGAAACGGCAAAGGGCCATGTCGGCATGTGTGGACGACAGCGTCGCTGCATTTAGAAACCAGCACTACATTGCCGGGCGGCACACATGGCCGCAGGAAGATGCATGACCTTCATCTGGTATAAAAGAGTCCAACATTCTACTCTTCACGTAGCCTTGTTCTTCTTCTCTCCCCAGTCAAAAACAACTACTGTGTTGAAAGGAATTTTTTCTTTCCTTTGTCTCTTTTCTTTTTTCCTTTTTTCCTTTTTTTCTTTTTTTCTCCCTCTCACACCTTCTTTTCTCCGGGTTCGGACTAAGGGTCTCTCTGCGTATTTAGATCTGCCATCTCTGCTGTTTCAACATTTTACGTATTTTCTTGGTCCAAATTTACACATTCTCTCACTGTGCTTGAAAGCAGAAGTCTCGAAAGATCCGGATCATTCCATTCTCTTCACAACAAGAAAGAAAGGCCAGCTTCAGCCCGTCTCTCGCTTGCTACTTGGTTTCATTTTTGCGTCTTTGCTCCAACTTACACGGTAGGGCAAAGGCTTCTTTTGCACCAAACTCAAGATTTCGTCTACCAGGCCTCCGCCGGCTATTGTGCCGTTCTACTCGAAACATTTCCCTCTTTGTACGGCCAAGTGCTCGTCTCGACCTCGGCTTTCGCTAGATATTCCTACTGGAGCCACTGCCAAAATGCCTGCTCCTCCGGCGTTGGGTGCCCTAGGCATGACGTTTACGGCCATGCGAGCCTTACAGGCCATTTCATTGATCACCATTATCGGGCTGGCTTCGAATTTTATTTCCGAAATGGTGACTGCTAGCTACGTGCCGCCGTCTGCGTTGGTCGGCACGCTTGTTGTTGTACGTTTTCTCCGTGGCGAGCGAAAAGGGGTTTGGGTGACTGACTGAATACTAGGCTTGCATCACTGCTGTTTACACCGTCATCACCTACATTCTCTACTGGGACTCGATGCTCCCTCTGCTGATTTCCACCGGTGCGGATGGTCTTTGTCTCGTCGCCACAATCGTGGTAGCTTGCGTCGTCGGCAAGCCCGTCAGCTACCTCTCGTGCCCTTCGCTCCCCGACAAGGGCAACACAGCCAACTTCATACACTCTCTTTTCCTCAATCTCTCACGCAAGGACTACTTTGAGTGGGTTGACCCAGACAAGGCAACCTGCTTTGAGATCAAGGCCATCTGGGGCCTCAGCATCTGCCTCTGCGTCCTCTACTTCATGTCCGCCGTCACATCGGCCTGCCTCTGGAAACGCATCAAGGGCGGCAGCAGGCCCCCTCCCAAGGACTTTGAATGAGGGTACGGCCGTGGGGAGGTTCCGGCCGGGAGGGAAAGATTAGTAGCGCCACCTCGGGCTCCGCGAGAGCTACATAGGGCAAAGAGCCTTGGTACAATGGCCATGATTCACCCGGACAGGAGATATGATAGCGATTCGGGCAGCGACGACGCCGTCAGCATGAATATCCCTTATCAGGCTCGTGGATCCGTTTATTCATCGTTTCCTCCCCCGCCGGCCCCCGCGGCGACAATTCGCGAGAAGCGAGCTCGCGTTCGGCCTCCGCCTCGGCCTGTCGAGAATATTCCTCCGTTGCCGCCTATGCCTGTTTTTGTACCGCAGCCAAAGTCACCCGTGGGTTTGGGCTTGCTGAGTCCTCCTCTGGCTGCGGTCAAGCCTAAACGGAAGACCATCTTGGAGAGGATTGACGGGTGGTGGGATTTGGGACTGCTGGAGAAAAGGCAGACACTTCTTGGAAAACACCGTAATGAGTTGCACTAGAGTTATTCTTTTGATTTGGCTCTGGGGAAATATTCAGATTGCCTGCTAAGACTTGGTACAGGATTTAATGGTTCATTGCTTTGTATTTGTCTTTGTTTTGGGCTTGGGGTATAACAGTGGCATGTCATTCGACCGTAAACAAAAACTCACAATTAGTTGGTTAGGTTGTTGGTTTGATTTTTTATGTTTTGCCAGGTCAGGATTGCATGGCTTAGGTTTCGCTTTCGCGGGGTGAAACACCTTGCGCAACAGGTATGTTTATATTACAATTTGGGCATAGGGATCTTCAAAAAAAAAAAAAAAAAAGAGGGAGGGGGAGGGAGAGGGAGAGAGAGAGAGAGAGAGAGAGATTGAATGTGGCTGTTCGTTTTATTAGCGTATACATAATTGCTATTAGTACTTTCTGCCTTGCCTTTGCTCGATTGATGAATTGATCGATTAATGTCTTTTTTATAATTCTCAGTCGCAGGTGCAAATACAGGGTAGCTATCGTCAAACGATGACACCTGCTGTGAGGCTAATTAGAGTTATAGTTATCACAGGTGGACAATACGTACTAGTTCAAATGCTGGCAGTTAAAAAAAAAGGGGAAGCGTCTGGTGCTGACAAATGGGCGCCAAGCACATCAGCCATCATCGATCCACTACTAAGGCTCTTGAAGTTGGTCGCAACGGATGTTTGTCGCATTGACTCACTTGCATCACAAAGAACAGAGGCGCATCATCGGTTGCGGTTTCGCTTCCCGACATATGCTCACTGCCTACGGAGTACACGGCCAGTGAGACGCTGCCTCAGAAAAATGTCCTACCCAACGTCCAAAATGTCGGTCCTCCGACAGCTCATGTCCAACAGCAAGACCCGCTCCTCCGGGGGCTGTTGGACCTGTAGAGTGAGACGCAAGAAATGCGCTGAGAACCGCCCGGAGTGCGATACCTGCAAGGCTCTCGAAATCACCTGCCATTTTCAGGATGAAAAGCCGGATTGGATGGATGGCGGACCCAAGCAGAGAGAGATGGCTGATAAGATCAAGGCTGAGGTGAAGAAGCAGGCAAGCCAGAGGAGGGATCGCAAGTATCTAGAGATGCTGGAAGCAGGGACTAAGATGGTGAGCATAAGCGACACTGACGATCCACAGGCCAACGGGGGCCGTGGAAAGGACCCCATGTCTGGTGCTTCAGATACCGACCGGTCGCTTCGTAGCCGTGGAATCGGCTCATCGCCAGAATCAACCAACACGAATGGCGCCTCACCGCCAGAAGTGCCGTGGCACAGCCAGGTCTTTGTGCGGCAAGAGGATAATGACAATGGACCCGACGCCGACCTCCACTTCTTGATGATTTATCTCGATTACGTCTTCCCCTATCTGTTTCCACATTACCGGCCGCCGGTTCTTGCGGGAGGTCGCGGCTGGATCTTGGACGTCCTGCAGAGTAACAAATGCGTCTATCACACTGCGGTTTCGCTGGCAAACGCATTCTTCGCCATTGTTCTGGCAGATGGAAAGAAGGAGCACGAGCAGTGTACGATGCGGATGGTGCACAGCCTGGAAAGCCAGCTTGAACTCGGCCTCAAAGAACTGTCCAAGGAGATGTGCGCCATCAACGCCAGTAGAACCGGCTTCGACAGGCAAAAGGGTCTAGTTGTGATGCAAAGCATTATTCAGATGCTCTTCTTCGAAGTCGCGACCTCCAAGAAAGAGAATTGGCGACTGCATCTCGATGCTGCGATTGCATTGTTTGTCCAGATATTGTCCGACCCTGCACAGTGGACGGGGACCCTGCACAGCTTGTATAGCCCGCGGTGGCCTCCGCCTGAGATTGGCGTGAAGAGACCATGGAGTACCAACCAGGCAGCTCTGCGATTTTTCACGGCGACTCTCATATACATTGATGTGCTGTCGAGTGTGACGCTCGGAAGCTCACCGCGCCTGCTCCGATATCATGATACCATTATCCCAGCGTGTGCAGAATTCCAGAGAAGCATTGAGCCCATGCCTGCTGGGCCGCTGACCATGGATGAGTTCTTCGGCTTGCCCAACTGGATCATCCAGCTTCTCGGCAACGTAGCCGCGTTGGAATCCTGGAAGCGCATACAAAAGCAAATGGGCTCACTGTCAGCGGATGAGCTGGTATCGCGAGGAAAGGTGCTCTCCGACGGAATCAAGACCGGGCTTGATATTCTAGAGAACCATCCCGAACTGCGATACCCGCCCCAGGGTGTATTCCCTCTGCTCGTCGCAGACCCTGTGACGGGAGCCCACGCAGAGGAGCAACCGAGGTTCCAGATGATTTGGCTGCTTGCAACGCTGAGCTACCTGAACGTCATCGTATCAGGATGGCAACCATCCAGCCCTGAAATTCGCTGGTCTGTGTCCAAGGCAACGGAGCTGCTCACCTCGCTTCCGACAGGAGCCTGGCTGAGAGCGTTGGCTTGGCCCATGTGCATTTGTGGTTGTCTTTCGCCGCCAGAAGACGAAGACAAGTACCGCCAAATCGCACGTCGACTTGGCGCGTTGCAAATATTTGGCACTGTCAAGGAGGCCATGGAAGTCATGGAGAAGGTGTGGTCCATGCGCGGACAGATCGACGAGTCCTGGGACGTGGCACGTTGCTTGAATATCTTGGGTTATGGAACATTATTAATCTGATGCTTGCGGCATGGAGTAACGTACATTTTGGCTGCTTTGGACGGAACACGCATAGACTTGAGAAAACGATTGATGACCGGCCTTATATTTGGGCTTTTGTAAATATCATATGGAATGAATGAAACGAATCATTGCACTTTAAATAATGAATCCTTTCATTGTGGGCTTTTTGGGGTGGGGGCCGACGCCAGTGTAATCTTTCCTCACCCAACATTGAAACATTTGACAGAATTCTGCCCGAGAATCACTTGGCCATGACGATTTCTAACGTACTGCACGTATACAGTGCCCACTATCTAGAAGTCTTTGCACTGTCAAAGATTCAAATTTATCGTCAATCTCTCCACCAGCAGACATCATTATAGAAACACGCAATTATGGCTGCCTCGCGATTTGACGCACAAATGTACACAGCAGAGGCGCACGTCGAGAGCGCGGGCACCGTTCTCTTCCGACTCTCGGCCCGCGAGATCTGTCTTCTCTGCCTGCCACGGCGTGACGAGTACGTCCTCCCCAAGGGACGTCGCAAGGTGGGCGAATCTCGCGATGCTGCCCCGACGCGACAACCCACGTAAGAGAAGGGCATTCCCTGCCGCTTATTACCCGTCAACTTGGTTTCCCGCGCCTGTCCCATGTTCGAGATGGAGCATGTGCCGGACGAAGCTCGCTCCTACAAAGGCATCTGCGAGCCGATTACGGCACAGTTGCGCCGCCTGAGCGAAAACGACGTCAAACTAATTTGGTGGTTTGCGGCTGCCGTCAACGAGGGAGAGCCTATCCGCCAACATGAGATGCACAAGTTTGAGGTGGAGTTTCACAGTTACGATGACGCTCTCCAGAAATTGACGTTTGGGGATGATCGCAAACTGGTAAAGAAGGCGATTCAGCTTGTCAATTCTACACTTGGTTTCTAGTACACTGCTTTGTATAAGCGGATGGCAGTATACTTGAAATCGCGGTGGGATTCGCTGGCTACGACGAATTAAGGGCTGAGAGGTCGGTGAAAGTTGTTAGTCTGATGTGTATTTTTCTCAGTCTACGACATGACTCGACATTTTATCTTGCAGGGATAGACGACTATACGAAGCAGTATGCTCTGCCCAGAATCGACATCCTCCACCATTATATAACGTATTCAACAAGACGGCAGAATCACAGTTCATTCAACTGTACCACCCGACCAGTGGGCTTACACTGCTTCTTGTGGTGGGCAACATAAGTCATGTGTAGCTTTCGGCGCCACTCCCGATTTACTTGTATCTGGAGCCTGCCCCATCGGAGGAGATTCTTACGGATTGGAGATGGAGTAAAAGATCCATAGGGGGAGGCCAGGATAAACAAAGTTCTTGTAACTTTGGCACGAGGCATAAAAACGGATGCGGCCGCCAGATTGTCAAGGAATTGACCAGAGCCTCGGCGGAAGTTTGGCAGGTGAAGTGGCCGACGGTGTCGGGGAAAACAAAAGCCTAGGCTTACTGCCACACCCCAGTAAGCTACTTTGGATTTGGACGTCGGCAGAAGGTGACGGACTGACTGAGGTGATATTGCAATGTCGGTGCGGTGCAGAAAGGCTTCGCTCTACAATTGCGACGAGTCGTGGTTGGTCAGGGGCTCACAGTTCCTTCAACGATCGTGTATTTGCGTTTGCACTTCTTCACGGTACTGGTTCCTACAGAGAGGCCGTTGGAGTTCCTCTGTTTGGTGCTTCACCTGCAGGAGGATTTCTGACTTTCTTGCCCTCGCTTTCAATGTCCTTTCCAAGAACCTCCCTCAGCCGATAGCTTGCTGGCCTCTCCCAATCCCAATATGGCTCGCCCATCTGGACTAGGTGATTCCGAATCAGAACACGAACAGACCTCATCTCCTTTCCAGTCACTTTCCCTTCGGGTCCATAAGTCAGCACCGGCCCTGCCGGCGGCTTGGGCATCCATGGCCACTGCACCCACGTATCTTTGGGCTTAAACTCCTTTCCTTTCCTTTTGGCGAGCCATGTATCCAAGACGCCCCGAAAGGTTTGAATATCGCTATCTAGCTGTACTTTAGGGTGCTTTAGCCACTCCATTTGCAGCACTGCTTCAGCATCTTGTTTCTCGTGCGGAACTTCACGAAAGGGTTCATCCAGAGTGATAATCTCATATAGCGTAAAGATGACACCCTTCATATCATCCCGATCAGGCGTATAGTGCCTGTCAATCATGATTGAGTAGTTAAAGTCAAAATATTCGGAGATTATCGTCTTGGTCAATAACCAGGTTACGTGCAGCTATATCCTGGTGCATGATGCCGTACTGGTAGTTTAGGTCGTCTACCACAGATAGCAGCTGGTGAAGCCACTGAAGACGGAACGGCCTAGTTGTGTTATCCTTCAGTGTACCGCCAGGAATAAGACTGGTGGAGCCGACGATTCCCCCGCGGATATTGTCAAGAACGACAGAGTCAAAAGGAACAATGTGTGGATGATCGCGAGGTGAGCGGCTCCAGCTATTAAGCTCATACCAGGTTCGGAACATGCCATTTTCTATAAACTAGTACTTGAATACAGCATTTGTTTTCGTGGGGTTTGTGAGTGGTGTTTCTGATATGTTACCAGGTCGACTTGAGGCGCCAGTCCGTCTACCTTGACCAGGCTGGACAAGTAGATGGTCTTGATGGGAAATGGAAGTTTCAAGGCACCTAATTGATGGTAGTTGACGTACCAGGTCACATCATCTTCCTGGTCAGTGGATATTGTAACAGGTCCATTTGGTTCTGAAACGCGAATTCCGTAGACACCATCACCAAGCTGGTCAATATGCTTTCGGATCTGTGCCATACAGATGTCCTCGGTATCCTCGACATCTTGAACTGGGACTGGCGGGGCATATGTGACGGAGAAGTGCCTTCTCTGGTCAAGATCCGTAATGTGCCAAGTACAAGGACCGCCGATGATCAAGCTGCCCGATCCTGCCCAGAGCCGCGCTTCAGGGTCGATCATGTTGTGAGTGTTGTTAGGAAGATCAGTAGACAGCGGAGTGACGAAAAGACGGTCGATGTGCCCAACAGGTGCCCGAGCTCAGAAACTGCCCCACGACAGCGCTTCCCGAAACACGTCGAGGACATGGGCGCAGACGTGGCGCCAATTCCTGTGAGTCTGCTGGTATGATTATGATGACAGACACGCAAAGGTTTCAAAGTTAACGGGGAGCTGATGGCGCGCTGCTTTCCGACAAAGAGACGACATGTCGTAATACGCATTGTACTGTCTTGGAGCAGGATTTACGGTGATTAGATACCTGCCCTCCTCTTGTTTGAACCTTGCTCTCGCCAAATAGCGTACAGCGCCCTAGGATGATGTCAAGATTTATCTGGCTCCTACAAGTTACAGAGACCTGATCGAGTCGCGACGAGACCCAGTGCTCCAACTTGGCGCGCACGGTACCAAACCACCTGCGTTGAGGTCGCATTGAACACAACACATCTCATCAAATACTCACTCGACCCGCCATTTATAACAAAAGAAACAAATCGCCTCGTGGGTAACCAGGTCCTCGGTCTCGTCTCTCCATCAACCGAAACAATGCGCTCCTGGACCTTGTGTATCCGAGGGCAATTGTGGAAACTTCAAATACTGGTTCAATCCACACCCGGATGATGGTGCACAGTGCTTCCGAGCAGCGCTTCCACCGTCACGTCGCACACCATCTTCCCAACTCCAACACATCCGGCCATGCGTCGACGAGCCGCACTTCAATGGACGACGACGACGGCAGACAAACATCCGGAGAGCCAGGACCGCCCCGGTACATCCGCAGCCGCATTGCCAATGCGTGCGATGGATGCAAAGCGCGCAAGGTCAAGTGCGATGGCGAACTACCCTGTGGCTATTGCGCAGGGCGACAGCGGCCGCAGGCTTGTCACTACTCACCACAACGCCGCAGGAGGGCGGCAAGTAGGAGAGTGTCAGAGAGTGTCGGTGATGAAGGAGTGGGCGGAAGGGCGTTGAGGACCCGATCGGCTGGCGTGCACGATTCCGCGCAGGATGCTACGACGCCGAGGACGCGAGATTCCACTGCGCGAACCGCTGACGATCAGCAGGGAGTTGTGAATGGCCCGGCAGAACCCCCGGCCGAGGACGATACAGAGGTTCCACGAGAAGCACGGCTGCTGTGTGATGCGCAGGGGAAGCTGGTGTTTATCGGAGATTGCGCGCCATTGTCGTTTTTCCAGTCTGTCCGACAACTTGTCACTAGCCGGGTGGGACAGCATGCGTTTGCGCCGGAGAGCAGTCGCTACTCGGTCTTGGAGAACGTGCCTGCTGGGTATTCGACGAGAGAGCGAGCCGGCAGCGGACTCGGAAGCCCGCCGGACGTCAAGAGCGTTGATTTCGAAGCCATTGTTGCGAATTATCTGGCGACGACGACTGGTTTGGCGGACTTGTTCGACAACTCAAAGCTGCTCAACGATTTGCTCCTGTGGGCGAACCATGAACGGGGTTCGGATGAACTGACGTCGGTTGTCAATTATCTTGTTCTGGCTATCGGGAGCCTTGGAGACCACGAGGCACTGTCGCAGGGTTACTTTGAGTATGCGCGAAGCAAGGCGTACGCTACGTTGAGCGGCAATCTGAGCGTCGGGACGGTTCAGGCCTTCATTCTTATTACCATATACATGCTTTGTTCGTGTCAAATAAACGGCGCGTATTTATTCTTCGGCATAGCTGCCCGGGCGGCGTACTCAATCGGTATTCATCGAACCGAAGTGAATGCTCGGTTTGGAGCCCATGTCCACAGACAGAGGGATCGACTGTGGAAGAGCGTTCGGATAGTAGACCTATTTCTGAGCACATCTATGGGCAGGCCGCCATCCGCTTCAGATGTCGACTGCACTGTTCCATATCGAAATATCGATGCCAATGGCGACGAGGATTTGGACCTGTTGAACGCCTCGGTACAGATCCTGCTTATTACGGAGAGAGTAGTGGTGGAAATTTACTCCAGACGGAAGATCTCGCTACAGCTCACTGAGGGAATATCGCACCAGCTACGAGACTGGTCAGGGCGCTGGCTGCGGCAACTCAAGGACGTCATTGCTCGAACCGATTCTCGAAGCACGGCTGAGATCAGCGGTGCTTGCCAAGTTTTGTCATCATACTACTATGCTGTTATGCTCATTTCCAGACCATTTCTCATGTATGAGCTTGTGAGGAGGCTATCCGATAGTCCGTCCGCGGCTGGAAGGTCGTCCCTTACATCTGGGAAGTCGAAGCTTGCGGATGCGTGTATTGATGCTGCAAGTTTAATGGTCGACCCAATACTGGATCTGATTGACCGAGGCATCTTGAATAGCAGAGCGCCGCTCATCGTGTAAGTGCCGTGCAGTTGCTTCCAAGTGCCTGAGAGGTTCAAAGCTAATAATAGTTTGCAGCTCTTGGTTGTTCGCGTCTGCTCTCGTCTTGGGCGTCGGTCTTCTGGGCGGGTTCGGCCGCATTCTCGAAAAATACTGCCGCATGTCCATCCAAGCGCTCGATCACTTTGCCAAAACTGACGGCCACGCCACCCAATACTCGCTCATTGCTCAATCCCTCCTCATGACGGCGCTGGAGTACCTCGAGCGGCGAGAACTCCAGGAACGGCTGCGAAGAACGGAAAACTCGAGCCAACTATTCGGCTTGATGCCGCCAGAACCACGGACAACGCCCGGAGAATCCCCGCCGGGTAGGGATTTATCCCGGCACACCGGCGGAAGTCCCGCGGCTGTGACCTTGCGGGGACGAGAGCCACTGGACAGGTCATTCTTACAGCACCAGGGTTTACAGGGTGTTCCGTCTCCGCGACTGGCCGAGATTGATTCGGCGTTTTTGGGGTTGACTGAATCGCTGATGCAGACGCCGGATAATAATTACTGGAATGGGAATGTAGGCAATGATGGGGATTCAGGGTCGGCATTGAATCTGTTTCCACTACTGGAGGCTGGAGGAGGGATTGATTTGGCGCATTATTTTTAAGCCCGGCACCATTGGCGGCGATATTTGATGTATATATATGTCTGATTGACGAATTCATGTACAACGAAGGGACTGTAAAGGGCGAGTAGTCTAGGGCAATAGATCTAACCCCACGGCCTCGTACTACGGTTTCGTGATTCCGTTGGTGGTGGTAGTGTTTTGATGACCGAGGATCCGAACTTCCGTAACCAGCCCCCAACACAAACTCCTATTTTATGGAAGTGGGAAATGGAGCGGGTAGGTTCATCAAGTAGTAAATATGTAATGAATGCCGGATGAATGTGCTACTGAGCCATCACGTCGGATTGGGAATTCGGCAAAGAAGACCCTTTGAATTCCTACGGGTTGGGATCTGCACACGAGGCACCATGGTAATAACTCCGCCAAGGGGGGCTCCTTCTATGATTTTTATATGCATGGTCATGCTCTATGTCCAGACACAAATGAAATATTCTGCGCGGGCAATTTCTCAGCATGTTTCGAATTCTCTGCCTCTATGGCTTTTTTTTTTGCTCCCCCACAGCCACCGGAGCAATAACATTGTCCTCTGAGAAATAATTGCCATCTTGGACATGAAACACCAAAACCCAGACGATTCCACAAGTGCCCAAAGTGTACAATCTGCGCAAAGTATTAGCTCGAACCATCTGCGTCGAGAGACAAAACAAACGCAGAATCCACTTACACCAGCTGCAGCGTAATCTGTCCCAGAAAAGCTCACGCCCTCACCAGCCATGACAAACGAAACCAACATCCCAAACGCCGAATAAAACTTGAACATGCCTGCCGCGCGGGCCAGCACATCTAGGTCGTTGGTCGTAGCCCACAGCGTGTACTCGGTGCACATTTGGTATCCCGCGTACACGGCGCCAGAGCGAATGTAGCACACAAACAAACCCGGCCACTCGGGATCTGTCCAGTCGGCACCGGCTGCCGTCCTCAGCGAGTCGACCTTATTGAACTGCAGCCAGCCGATGAGGCCGGCGCTTGCTCCCACGGCAACAGTGCCCATGACAGCGATGGCGATGAGGCCCCGCGTCTTGCGGGACCGTATATACTTGCTGTCGAGGACGAGGACCAGGGCGGCGGGGAAGAAGGCCTGAGTTGCCTGGTAGGCGAAGTTGTTGACGGAGCGGGTGCGCAGGTTGAAGTACCGGGCTGCCCTGGCATTAGCCCGTGTTTTTCTTTATGAATCTGGGATACAACTCGGGCCAGAACCTGACCTCCTTCAAGACGGCAATATGCGTCCCGTCTTGTCGCACCACGCGCCTCGGGTTGACGATGAGAAAGAGCGCGACGAAGACGGCGCCCGTGCGGATGACGATGCATGTCATGTACGCTGGTCTCGACACGCCCACTGGTTTTGTCTGGTTGATGGACAGACTGAGCGAGATGGAGCTCCCTATGATGGCGCCTACGCTTCTGAGCATCCATTGTATGCTAATGTACTACGCACGGGATTGATTTCGCGTCTAGGGAGCGTGAGAGAAGCAGTGTGGTCGCACTAATCCCTTGTCCTTCTCTTCGGCGTAGCTGAACTGGACGTACGCAGCGGCCGTCCATAGGAACCCGCCCGTCATTCCTAATATCGCACCCGCAAGCAGCGCAGAACAAGCATTGTCGGTTCGATCGTAGTACCACAGCCCCCCGACAGAGCAGGGACACCCGACGGATCCGACCATCAGACTCAGCTTCGGGCGCAGCATGTTGAGGATGGTGCCGCCGAAGGGACCGACGAGGGCGAACAGGCCGTAGAGAAGAGCATCCGTCTTGTTGGCTACGTCTGCCGAGGACGGCTGTCCGCCGCCGGCGCCGAGGCCCGTGAGGGCGGTGTATGTGCCTGGTAGCCTCCTGGTGGGCACAGCAAGATGCTAGCAGGTAGTTGGTGGCTTTTCACTTGTAGGCTGGAGGGAGATTTTTACCATCCCACGAGGAAGTTTTGTGTAAATGGCCGGTATGGACTGAATTTTGACGGCACCATGTTGGTCCAACGAATGGCAGGCCGGAGTGTGTATTGTGAAGAAGGAGGACGGGAAAGAGGGAAAGGTGCCGCTGTATTATAAAGACGTCAATTGCAGTTGAGATGAAGTCCAATTTCTGATAAGTGAGGTGGGATGCTGCCGGGATTTTGCTGATGCTAGCACTTGAGGTGAAGCTAACCGCTGGTTTGGTCGTTCAGATGCGGATCGACACATCAGAGCGCTGGAATGAAGGGCCATTGGGAGTGCTGCTTCTTGGCGCCCACATCTTCGGGTCTACTAGCCGGTGAATGTAGTCGCGGTGATTTCGACCCAGTATATTGCATGGATAACTCGGTAGGAAACGGCTCATCTCGCGATTGTGTTCTGTTGTCGAGTCGGATTGGATTCTGTCTGTCCCCCCCGGCTTGCTTTGATGCGGGGATCCAGGGTTGTCTGGAGCTCCCCAGAAACGAGGGGAACTAGGAATGTGAGGGGATTGCAATCGATGCAAAGAAAATAGAAAGCGAGAGGTCGTTTGATATAAAGGGCGGACATGGTTTCTATATGGTGGCCAAGTTGACGAATCATATCAATGACCCGTATTTGATCCAGAGATTTTTTCAAGAGCCGATCAATCAACTGACGTCCATGGCGAACTGCTTCTGCCCTGAACCGGAAGCCGATTTCCCTGTCAAGCAAGCATGTATTCATGTTGGACCTAGGGCTGAGCGGCTTGCATCTATCCTGACTTGACGTGGCGCGGGGCCGCATATCCCTTGCATCCAAATAGTTACATGTTCATAGTGACTCGTTCTTGTGAGTTGGGGTATTGCTCAATAAGTAGCTCAACAACTTGACACCTTTTGCCAGTATCAAGTTTGTGGGCGCAACCCAGAAACTGTCTCGCAGGCGACAACCAGCAACCCTGGACTGGCGCAGAGCTTCACACCCGCTGAGACCGCTGCATGGCCTCCCAGTTTCTATCAAGGTTGAAAACGCGCCTCTAAATTGTACTTCTTTGCTGATGCCGTCGACCAGGATACGTATCATGTCAAAGGCAAAGCCTCTACTCTTGGATACGTCGCGCTGAAGGACAACGTAGTGGACGACGACACCGTCGGGGTACAACTGCTTCGCGAAGCTGGCGGTACGTAATCCACGCAGCGAAGCAAATGAGTAACAGCACGCTCATCATGATTTGGCCATCATCCACTGCAAGACAACAATGCCCCAAGCCGTAATGGCTCTAGAGACGGCAAGCAGTCTCTGGGGTCTCACCGTCAACCCGTTCAACAGCAGCTTTGGCGACGGGGTCCTCATCGCCATGAGAGGTGCCGCGACAGCACCCATGACGGACATTGATGGAAGCAACTCGCTCTCCAGCCGCCTTCAACGGGCTGTACGCCATCCGTCCTACGGCCGACTGCATGTCCAAGACCGGCATACACAGCTGGAACCCGTCCCGAACGTCGATCCGGGTGTCGTGCGGCCCTGGGACCCATTCCATGCGTGACCTGAAGAGAATCACCGCCGTGCTGAACAGTGCCAATGCCGCCTTTGATGTAAGCTGTGCCCTGGTGCCTTGGAGACACGTTCCTGTCTCGGAGGAGAAGCTCGTCTTCGGGTTGCTGACGTACGACGGCGTGGTTACACCGCACCCACCGGTCCTGAGAGCCGTGAAAGAGGCTGTCCAGAAGCTCGAGGCCGCGGGACATGAAAATGAGCACAGAGAAGGGTTCGACTTTGCGGCAAAACATGACCCGGCGCAGTGATTGGGTTCAAGCTCCCGTTTTCGTCGTGGGAGATCAAGCAGAGCAACGTAGGATTCACGTCACGTCAAGCGGCGCAACCTAGACTTACACCATCTAGTTCAATTTGTTTTCCCAAACCGGTTGCGCGGAGCCAAAGGCCCTCGTAAAGGAAACAAATGAGCCCATGCTGCCCGTGTTCGAGCACTACCTCGACACCTTCAACGTCAGACCGCTCGCCGCAACCGAGTGCCTCAAGGTAGAGTCTCTTAAGTCTCGCTCACAGGGCGTACCCAGCTGAACCGCAAACTTGTTGTCAACAAGATTGAAGCTTCTCTTCCGTGACGCATGGGACAAGACGGCCCAGCGCACCCCTACCAAGAATCCCATTGACGCGTTGCTGTGCCCTGTCGCTCGGTATTCCGCACGACTTTCCCATCTGGTGGGGGTACACCAGTCTGTTCAACCATCTCGACTACCCGTCGACTGTGCTGCCGTGCCGAAAGACGAGGGTTGATGCTGCGTTGGACGCCAAGGACCCTGGTCTCACTCCGAATGAAGGTTTTGCAGGTTCTGGCAAGTTGAATTGGGACATGTGTAGGTTCTCGGCTGGTCTTGGCCAAGTCGGCGTGTGTCTTTAACTGCTTTTTTTTTCTATTATCGTAGATGATGTTGACAAGTTTGCCGACTCACCGATTACGATTCGGGTTGTTGCACGCCCATTCAAGGACGAGGAACTGCTGAATGTGTCCGAGGTGGTAGATGGCGTCATCAATGCTTGACTTTACATAGGAGTCGCCTTTCTTTGACTATTCCTTGACAGGATATGTTTCTGTCGTACGCATATGAACCTATATGTCTCAATGACTTGGAGAGCAATCGGCCAGGTGCAGGTATGTTACTGTTGTAGCAGGGAAAAAAAAAACAACAACAACAACGGTGGAGTTTCATTGAGCCTGCTCCCGAGATAAGCACCACAGCGCCTCACACGCACCAGACTCATCTTACATGCACCATGTTCGTCGGCGGGTCTTGACCAATACATCATGTTGCAGGGCTTATGCTCGTAATGCCATACTATTCTATAAATCATCGCATCTACAGCCCCAACGCCCCCCTTAAAACCTGCATGTAAGCCCACACGTCCTCAAACCGGGTATACAGAGGAACAGGCGCGACCCGAATGACATTAGGCTTGCGCTTGTCGCAAATGGCGCCGTTCTCCTCCAAGGCCTGCGAGACCTTCTCCAGCAGGCCGTCCCTCAAAAGCACGCTGAGCTGGGTGCCGCGCTGGAGAGGATCCCGGGGCGTGAGGACGGTGAATATGGGCGCGGCATCGCCCTTGGTCTCCTCCAGCATCTGGTCCAGCAGCAGCTCGGCGTAGGCCGTCAGGACGAGGGCCTTGGAGCGCAGGTCGCGCATGCAAGTCTTGTTGAACACCGACAGGGCGCCCGACAGCGCCGCCAGGTCAATGGCCGAAGGGTTGGAGAGCTGGTAGCCCGCCGCGCCGGGGGTGGGCACAAACGTGTTGTCCATGTTGAAGCGGACGCTCTTGTCGCCGCCGTACCAGCCCGCCAGGCGAGGGCGGTACGAGGGCCTGCCCGAGCCGCCGGCCCATTCGACCTGGCCGTGCCTCTCGTGCACGTACGCGCCGGCTATGGAGCCGGGTCCGGCGTTGATGTACTTGTACGTGCACCAGCAGGCAAAGTCGACGTCCCAGTCGTGGAGCCTCAGCTCGACGTTGCCGGCGGCGTGAGCCAGGTCCCAGCCGACGACGATGCCGCGCTCCTTGGCGTAGGCTGTGATCCTGGCCATGTCGAATAGCTGGCCCGAGTAGTACTGGATGCCGGGCAGGAGGAGGAGGGCGGTCTCTTGGGCGTGCTCGTCGATGGTCCGGAGGATCTTCTCTGTGGGGATCAGGCTGTTCTCGTCTGGCTCGATCTTGACCATGCTCTTGTCGGGGTCGCGGCCGTGCCAGACAACCTGGCTCTCAATGGCGTAGTGATCGCTCGGGAAGGGCTTCCATTCCAGAATAACCTTGTGCCGCTTGGCGGTGGGCTTGTAGAAGCTCGCCATCATGACGTGGAGATTGACGGTGAGCGTGTTCATAATGACGATTTCATGCGGCGAGGCCCCGACAAGATCAGACGACTTCTTGGCACAGTCCTCGGCCATGTCCTGCCACTGCCTCAGGGGCGAGTTGTCCATGTCGGTGAAGTGGCCGTTGACGCCAATCGAAGCCCACGTCTCCAGCTGAGCATTCAGGTAGTCTCGGACAGCTCGGGGCTGAGCGCCGAGAGAGTTGCCAACAAAGTAGAGGCATGGCTTGTCGGCATCTGCCGACTGGCCCCCTGCGCCATTGGTGTTGTGGGTGCCGTTGATGCCATTGTTGGCAGCTTGTCCTGATTTGAACCATGTTAGCAAGGTTTCATCCCGAGCCGCGGTTTCACGGTGTTTTTTTGCATGGATGAGATGATGAGATAGGAGATACCTGGGATCGAGCCATCCAAGGCTCTCTTCTTTAGTGAGCCCTTTGTGGGCAGCACGAACTCATCCCGCAGGTGCTTGAGCTGGTCTTGTGAATCGAGCTTTTGGGCAAAGGCCAAGGTGTTTGCGTCAGCGGGGAACTTGGCGGCTGAGCCGTTCCGCAGCCGATCGACGAAGGCGGCCAGATCCATGGCGATGTGAGGCGTGAGGAGGGCGATGAGGAGTGATGGGGCGGAAGATGGGTTGGGGAAACGAGGCAGTGCGGAGCAGCACAATGGAAGTCGAGAGGGTAATCGAAAGCACTTTATGGTTTCGACGTGGAAGTTTGCTTTCGCCCCCTCCCCTTGGGAGACTTGCCGATGTCTCTAAAAAAAAAGGGACCAATAAATACCGATTTGACTGCGGATGTGCTTCGCTACAGTGGTTGCGGCTGCGAATCCTGACGCAACTGCGCATCGGTGCATCATGTTGGGATAAATGGGCGACCCACACGGAAGTATTTTTTGATTGCCTTGTTCCGTGCTCGCAGGTACGTCCGAGCTTCCGTCATCCGAGTACCGCAACAAGCCGCAAGTCTCCATCCACTGACCAATGGGGTCCCCACACTTTGCCCATTTGGATAGTTGCAGGCAAAATGATTTGCAGGAACCGCTTGGCGTCGCATGGCGGCGATGGCACGGAATGGCACAACGGGCACATGGCCGAGGGGCTGTCGTCACCAGACATGCAGGTCCGGATCGAGTTGGTTTGCCCGGCATCTGCGAGTCATGGCGTGGGAGCAGCGATAGCCTGCCTGCCTTATCATTCCATGCCACTGCGGATCATCACAACGGCTCCGGAGCGGATGCGCGACTCGGATGGCGGCGGAAGAGCCATTGCGCAATACTCGAGACAGCAAACTCTGTCGAGCATAGTAGATTGTATTTCATCTCTGTACATCCCTAATCCGCGTTTGATGTCGTCTTCCACCACAGCTGAAATTTGCTACCAATGGTGGGCTCGTCTCGACATTGCCAAGTGATACCGAGACTATCTATATAGCTACACAACAACACATCATAGGCTGTGACACAGAATGTCACCTCACGCCGTGCTGTCAGGCACCCCCCAGAATGGAAAGCCGACAGTCGACTTGAGCAAATTCGCCGTCACACAAAACGCCTTCCTGCCCGCCACCAGTCCGCCAACCTCGCTCTCCGATTCGTATTATGAGCCCTGGGAGCTCATTGCACAGCATCTGCCAGCATTGACTGGGAGCAACAGAATCCGAGACTCCGTCTGTCAGCTGCCCGTACTATCAACAGATCGTCTTGTATCCGAAGCGGAATGGAGGAGAGCCTATGTCATCTTGGCTTTTATGGCCCATGCGTACATTTGGGGTGGTGAAAAGCCCGAGCAAGTAAGTAATCAAGTTACCTACGCCATCTGTCCGAAGCCAAACCCTGTTAACCTTCACATCTTAGATCCTACCGCCGCAAATCACGGTCCCTTTCTTGCGGGTATCGAGCCATCTCGAAGTGCCCCCAGTATTGACATACGCGGGCGCCAACCTTTGGAACTTCTCTTGCTCCGGGAGTGATTTCACAAACCTTCACAACCTTGCTCTCCCCATTTCATTCACCGGTAGCGAATCGGAATCGTGGTTCTTGCTCATAAGCGTCGCCATGGAAGCCAAGGCAGCAGGCATCCTGCAAACCATGATGGCAGCTCTAGAGGCCGTCAAGACGCGAGACTACCATGTCATCACCTCGGCGCTCGGTGAACTACGCGGCTGCATCGACGGTGTCGGTGCGCTTCTGGAGCGAATGTACGAAAAGTGCGACCCAATGGTCTTTTATCACCAGATCCGGCCCTTCCTAGCGGGAAGCATGAACATGGAGGCCTCTGGACTGCCCAGGGGCGTCTTCTACGACGAAGGGCATGGCAAGGGACAGTGGAGGCAGTACCGCGGCGGCAGCAACGGGCAGAGTTCCCTGATCCAGTTCTTCGACGTCGTGCTGGGTGTCGAGCATCACACCCACGGCAAGCCGGGACAAAAGAGCTTCCACACAGAAGTCAGGGAGTACATGCCCGGGCCTCATAGGCGCTTCCTGGTGCATGTGGCCAGGATGGGGAGCATACGGGAGCTGGCCCTCGTTGAGCCGGCGACAGCTGAGCAGCGCAGGCTGCGAGAGGCCTACACCGCCGCGACGGACGCCCTGAGTGAGTTCCGAAACAAGCACATCAAGATCGTGACTCGGTACATAATTCTGCCGTCCAGGCAGCCCTGGACGGGAGGATCACGGACCAATCTGGCGAGTTCGTCCTCGTCGCGAAAGGGTGAACAGGGTCTAATGGGCACCGGTGGCACACAGCTGATTCCCTTTTTGAAGACGTCGAGAGACGAGACGTCTGAGGCGGGGAAACTGGAAAAGGAAAGAGTAGCGTGCTGAACTCTGTCGCATAAGCTGGAGGCGGGTAGAATTTTATGTATATATTCGACAACACCATGGATGATTTATTTAGCGAGACAGGGAAGTAGACTTCGCAGGTGGCAATAGCGTCATGATTCAACACTGCATGATTAGACAAATGTTTACCCTGAATTGGACTTATGGGATGTTTCATACTCTTAGTGTTCCGCCTGGCGATATTGTGTCCGGAGGCGACAACCTCTGCAGGTGTTTCACCCCCAAAACTACTGCGTGATGCGTTGCGGTTCGAGGTGGCCTGCTGCGCTGCTGCCCGATCTCACAGTAGACCTTCACGTGTAGTTACGCGTGCTGATAATATCCTATACCTGGCAGAAATATTCCGGGATACGAATTTATAGGTAGTTTGCGTTTATGGCTTGGGTCCTGCGTTTGCAAGTTGATTCCATGACAAACCATACCGGAACCCTAGCACGTATTGCCGTATTCTGTGGCAGACGTTAGGAAGGAGGAGAAGAGAAAAGTTGAGGACGCTAGAGAATGAGAAGATCTGAGTTTTCATATTTTATTATAGCTGATATTGCGTTATTCATGTTTCCTACTCAGCAAAACTAGACTCTTCCAAGAATAACAGCGCGAGTAAATTTCAGAGCGGCGTGCATTCTGATTTACAAGTGCACTTTAAGCTCCTTGATATGCAATCAGATCTCTCTATTTGAGAATGAGCTCCAAGTACTAGATATTGGCATCTCTCTGGAAACTGTATTCCTGTATCTCGTTAATAGCACCGCAAAGAACCCGTCGACCAAGACATAAATACAAGAGCATGAAGGCGGCGAAGTTCTCACCGTCCTTAGCCTTGCAAATAGCCAAGCAGACCAGCCTGCACGCCGACAACAGCCGCATATGTCCCGTGATTCCACTCTTTGCCCCCAATCTGGGCTATGCTCATGAATCCATCAGTGATACACATGGCTAAGCCAGCAACAAGCACGGTCTCCATTAGTTTCTCACTGCCGGTGGACCAAATCAGGGCCATCAGGTAGCTCGCGGCAAGGTCCCGCATGCTGTAGATGCAGAGTAACGATGCGGAGATTTTGCGACGGTCCCCTATCTTTCCAGCTGCTTCGAGGGCATCGTGGCCTCAAAGGACCATTGTAAACTTTGGCAATGTATTGAAAATTTTAAAGTCAAGGGTCAATACCTACTGTTAAGATGGAGAATCTGAGGTGTTGACGATGATCAGACTAAGCGCATTAGAATAATTTTGACCAAGATAAAATGAGTCCATCTATTGGGAGCTGTATGCATGAGCGCTGTATGCATATGACTAGCCCGATTTGGTCGGGGACTCCATAACCCACACCCCTTAGTGTGTTCCACACATAAAAAAATGGCAACGTGTCATTTTCAAAAAACGCGCTCAGTAATAGGTTTAAAATTCAACGGCATCGAGCGGCGGCAGCATTAAAAGAGCCTAATTCGTTTAAAAACGCGATTTCCGGTGTTTTATTCAAAATGCACACATTCTATCAGGCCGGCTATTAATCCGGGCCATCTAGGGGGTTATCGCGAAGACGTGCGATGCGTGATCGTGAGCCTCGCCGCTTGGCACAACAGAATTATTATAATGATTGGTGGAAGGGATAAAAGCAGCCATTTTAATGATCAAAAAATAACAGGAATAGCCGTAGTAAAGGTGTTTAAGAGCTTAGTTGACTGTATTAATGAATTTAATAATGTGGTTGATGATGTTAAAGGAGAGAAAAATTTGCTGTGGCTGCCTTATTATGCGCTGCCAAAAATCTCGCACATCGCGATGCCCTTAATTAGGTCATAACTTAACGCGAAAAAACGCGAAAATAATGATATATCGCGATTTCCATTTAATCACACGTAAATTACATACGAGGGTGTGGCAGCCTGGATGTGTGTCTATCCAGTTATGGGGTGATGTGGGTTACAGCGCTCATGCATACAGCTCCCAATAGATGGACTCGATAAAATAGGGGCGTAGCCCCCTTGTTTTATGGACTTGACTTGAGGTTTTGTTCCTTGGGGAGAGCCGCAGCTACCAAGTAATTCTGCCCCTCGCAAGCCTGCCTGCCGGGCGCGCAGTTGTGACTTGTTGTGACGTATCGCCGACGATACCATTGAGAGCTTTCTGTTTCCCCCAGTCCTTGTAACCCCTGATTCCAGCTTTACAAAACTGCAACTATCCGGCATTGTCGAGCCGATTGGGCGACGATATGGCTGGTTGCGCATCTACTTCAGAGATGGAAGGCACAGCGCCCGCAGCAATGTTATTAGATGTCTAGTAGTTAGTGTCGCAAGGCTCGAGTGCATTCTTCTTCTTCTACAATTTGCCAGGGTTGTGAGAACGTAGGGGTGGCCCGTAATCCACGCCTATATAGAACATCTAAATCCCACGTATTTTTCACGCTGGGCCATCTAATAAGCCAGGGGCGTATCACGAGGCTATGCGAGGCGTAGACGGAATTGTGCGCATGGCATCTCCATTCACCTACAACGTCACCGATAATGAGACAGGTAGAATCATACCAGCCATCCATGGCAAAAGGCAGATCTTGGACAGCACCGTTCGTCCTTTGCACCTCGGGTCAAAAGTGTCGTCTTGACTTCTTCATTTGCTTCGGTTGCTGCGGCCGGGGCATGTATACCGAAACACAGTGGAATCTAATGACATAGCGATATGCCAAGGACAACAAGAGAGGTCTTGCATGTGCGTAAGCCCCGGTCAACAGTTCTTATCATTTGGAGTATCCACTAAGAAAACTTGGAGGCAGCAAGAAGCTCGCCGAACAAGCACCGTGGGAATTTACCAGAACTACTGGCATTATCCAGACCTGTCTACATGAGTTGTCAAGAGAGTCCCTTACTGCACTGCAGCAGCAAACTTTGCCAAGGAGCAAGCACAGTCCACCAGCGCATCGCCAGAAGAGCTCATTCAAAAATGATGGTCGGCTATTCTTGGCCTTAACCCTCGCTTTGTCAGCCCAACAACGACTTCTTTGCCGTCGGAGGCAACTCAATATCAGCAATGAGACTGGTTGGGCTAGCTCGCTCTTCACGACACATGCTGTTGATTGAAGATATCATTGATTTACGTAATGGCTCTCCGAATGACTTCAATGCTCAAGAATGAGAACCATGAGAACGACAATATGTGTCGTTTTGGTCTTGCCGGCAACGAAAATGTCGAGTTTCTTTTACAGGATGCTCAGCCACTACAAGGCGTCTTATCATTTGAGTCGGTCCGGGATATATATCCTTGTACTTCCTCTTCATGAACATCTGATAGCCGCAACATCAAGGAATGTTGCCGCTTACACTATCGTAAACGGCATGGATGTTGCAGTCAAAAATCTCAAAGCGGCCAAGGCGGCGTGGCACGTCGTGTTGTTTGTCTTTGACATTTTGCGCACGAGAATTATCCTCAGCCCAGCCCGAGGAGCAATGCAAGCGGTACTTCAGTATCAGCCTCTATAGTGGCAACAAGTTTCAAGCGGGAAAAATTTCTCAAGATGGGTCGCAGTTCGACGACCTGCGGCTCGCCATTTAACACGCTTGGCAATTTTACCAGGAGGCGATGACGCCCCCCTGAGGTACAGTCGAGATTCTTTTCAGCGCTCATCACGCAGTATGTTGTGGTGTCTTCTTGACAGCAATGTGGCAGAGGCTATACCACGAGTTGTCCCGGTCGAGCACCAGAGTGAAGACATTGACTCCATTCAAGACTGTTATCAGGAACATACTCGAGGGAAAACGTGTGCACGCTGAAGAGTTCTGGAAAAATAGCCACCTAATCTGTCCAACGCTCCCTTCCCTCCTCAACCTCACAGAGGCATATCATCATCATCATCATCAGGGGAACAAACAGCTTTAGCGAGCGAGAAACTCTCCCGCCCAGTCTCCATCTACGTTCCTGGCACTAAAAACCGTGATAAAACCGCTATTAGCGCCCGGTTCGGTTCTGCCGTGACAATGGCCACAATAGCACACGCGGCATGGGCACTCACAATCTCACAATATACCGCCAACCCTGACACACCGTTCGGGGCAACGCTACCTGCCCGAGAAGCCGCAGCTGCCAGGATTCAAAATCCAGAGTCGATCGCGGGCCCGACCATCCCCACAGTTCCGTATCGCACAGTCATTCACTCTTCAGGCTCCGTAGCCGGCTTCTTGGCTGGGATGCAGCGAGACGCTGTCAGTACAGTCTGGTTTGGTCAGCTTGGATTGGAAACGATTCAGCGTCAAGATGAGAGCTGTAGACGGGCGTGCTGCTTTGATAGTATCTTCCAGGTCATGCAAGAAGCCGACCACGGTCGCGGGGTTATAGTAAGACCACCGAGCGACACTAACATGGGCGAGATGATGCGATTCGCATCTACCCAAGTATTTGAGGCCGAACACACTACTGGAGCCCTCAGTGCTAGCTCAAGGAAAATCGGCAGCGGTGACCAGAAAGAATCAGCGCATGATACCTCCGCTTCCGCTACTTACCCGGGTCTGTCGAGTAGGCAGAGGTACCTCGTGGCTCCAGGATATTTATCGCCGCTGGCGTCCGTCATGACTGCCCACGCACTATTTGCAAGAAAGCCACACAAGCCTTCTTGAGATATCCGATGGTCCAGGACGCGAGATGGGCTGCCGAGAGTCTTGACCATGAAAAAGGTTTGCTGAATAGTTTGGAAGCGCCGCAGTGCAAGACGGGGCAAATATACTGGGACAGTGGAAGTTTGATGTAAATATTTATACTACTTAAAAGTTTAGTTAAATAATGAATATAATAGTTATTAAAATAGCCTCAACACATAACCTCTTAGCCTTTAGATAATTCTGCCCCTCGCAGTCAACAGCTCCAACGTGTAAGGGGTGGCGTCAATGGTATTTTTACAAAGTTGAGGCTGTGTTTCCCACTAGAGACGGTATCCAAGCGAGTCCTTCTACCTTGGCCCTACTATTGAAACCTGGGAGCCCCGAAGCAGACAATCTCTGGTCTGGTAGTTTAGGTCTTGGGCTTTTGGTTACTGGACCGGCTGCTTTTACGACTGCCTAACCGGCGCGCAGGTTGGCTCGCCTGCAATGAGACAGAGAGCTGGCCTAGGGTCGTCAATTGCGCCTCCACATTGGTGTTCACAGAATAATCCATGATCACAGTCATCAGCTTTATAACAGCGCTCGCCTTGCTTCTTCTTAGCTGGCTGCTCTTGCCTGACCGGCGCGCAGGTTGGTTCACCTCCGATAAGACAGACGTTTGACTCGTCATCAATGGCGCCTCCGCATGGGTGCCGGCAGAATAATCCATCGCCACATTCATTGACTTGAGAGCAGCGCTCGCCCTGCTTCTTCTTGGCTGGCTGCTCTTGCCCGATTGGCCTGCATTTTGGTTCGCCTGCAATGAAACACATGGCTGACTTATAGTTTTCAATTGGGCCTCCACATTGGTGCTCGCAGAATAATCCATCACCACAGTCATCAGCCTCATAACAGCGCTCGCCCTGCTTCTTCTTGGCCGGGGGTGCCTCCTTGTCAACTTTAAAGGGTTGGGAGACTATCCAGGCCTGCCTCTTGCCGTCCTCACAGACAAACGCGGCCCTGTACTCGCCCACGTCTAGGTCGGAGAGGTTAAGCTTGACGTTCCCGATGTCCCTGCCCTTGGTGGGCTTCACGTATGCCCATGCCTTGGGGTCAGCTGCGAAGGAATTACAGGCATCAGCGGGCCAAATGCCAACCCAGGGCGAATAAGGGCCGCACGGAGGGTTGGGGGCAAGGTAATCGATGACGATCTCGGTGGCGGCTAGCCGCTGGTTCACAACCTCGTTTTTGGTTCCATCCATCTGACGGCGGAGGAGGGAAGGTTTGCCGAGGGCCGGCTGTAGGGCGCCCAGGACCACGGCCGCGCTTGACAGGAGCATGATGGAGAGAAGAGAGGGGAGTTGTGGGTATGACGAGAAGCGACAAGTTAAGAAATTGATTGATGCTGGCTGGCAGGTGAGACTACGAGGAGCCTGCGGTCGTCTTTTATATTTTGAAATGTGTCGCTATTTCGCTTTGGCCCGAGGAGACGACTACTTGGCACTTAATATCCCCCGACTCATAACGCCCTTCTGGGCTGACGCCGTACCGGTAAGTGGGGAGCTTGGTCGAGCTCGAGCCTCAAGAGAGTGGCAAGACTCGGCATCGACTTACTCATCTTCGATAAATTAATTCACGCAAAGTGGGAGAAAGAATGGGGGCCTCAAAGCGTGTGGCGAAGATGGTTTCATTGATCCCTAGTACGGAATTTTGACACCATCCTGCTGCTGTCAACTTGAACTGGCGTAGATTATCTAATTGTTCGTGTAATACATTTGTAGTCATGATTCTATGAAAATTAAAGGTGTAAAGGTGTTAAGGAAAGTAATGACGTATTACGAAATTCTTACAAGACAAGTAATACTTCTAGAATATAGTATTGGTATTCCGCGAATTCCGAATTCAGAGACTTGAATACGCAGGGGGGAGGAAAGCCTTGGCATGACACTTGATCCATTATCCGGCCCTATTTGCATCTGATTCCATAAACATTCTGCCAGGGTGCCCCCGCTCACCACGTCTTGATATGTCTAGAACCTATAATATGACAATACTATAGTATTGTGGCTTAGAAATTACGACAATGCTCGTGCGTTAAGGACTGCCAAGAGTCGCGAGCCGGGTTGCGGCCTCGTCTACGGAAAGCCATTGCCCACAGCAACACCGGCCAAGTCAGCAGGGCTAAGAGTCTTGACAAGGCGGGAAAGGGCCGAGAGGCTGCTGCTTCCGGTTAAGACAGCAACGTGGGAGATGTGGAAGACAGCCGCGCTGGGGTTGGGGCGGAGAGCTTGATGGCGAGCTTCACTGCCTTGGCTGTGAGTACGAGGACAATTCGGACAGCGACAGTACCGGGGAGGACGACTGCCATTACCAAAAAGCCAGTACAATACAGCTGACCCCTGTAGGTTTATATTAAAATGGGTCACTTGTTACGGGTACCAATTACGTACGTATAATTAAATAAGGGTAAACCCTTAACTATAAGTAAATAACTCTAATAATAAGTATACTTATAAAAAGAGCGTATATAATTCTCTTTTTTATAATTAAATATAAACTTATATATATATATTATTATTATAATTAATACTCTTTAAAGTATAATAATTATAAGCTTAAGAGAACTTTAAATTTCTTATAACTTTTACTTAAGAAAATTAAGTATTTAAGGTATTATTTTAATACTTATTTTATTATA